CAAAGCATTCAAGGTGGGCTCTGCCACTTACTAGCATCTTGATCCTGGGCCTTCATTTTCTAGGGATAAAATTTGTACCTGTGGGTGGTTGTGAGAATGAAATGAGCTGGTACCAAAGGGAACCATTTAGCCCACTGAAAGTATTGAAGAAATGTTTGCTGTGTGAGATTTTTCCCCTTATTTGTGCCTCTGAGCCATCCAAACTCAGGTCCTCCCTTGTGCTTGTATGCCTCTTCCCTCTCCCCACCACAAAGAGAAGACTTGACCTTGGGACATCTGAGCATTCTGGAAGGAAGGTCTGACTGATTAGGAGAGCAATAAGAGGAGTTAGGCCAGCTGTGCCAACCAGAAGGGAGCAATGGCTGAGGAGTGTCCACTTGCCAAAAAAAGTCTATGCCTGGGCCTAGAAGTGCCGAGATGCCAGATTTGGATGTAGAGGGAAATGGAATAAAAAGAGTATCACATGCGTTCTTATCAGAAAAATTTGTGCACCTTTGGGTGGAGGAACTTGAGAATCCAGACTTGCCCACCAGCATAGGCATCTCCCACTGCCCCCTCCTTGGCCTGAAAACGAGTTTGACCTTGGCTTTTTGCACCCAGAAAAGGCCTGGGGGGCGGGCAATAGCTACCTGCCAGCTGCACTGTGAGAGGGGTGGATGGTCCCACCCATCCCCACATCAATGCAGTTGTTGAGCACTGTGCAGGGTGCTTCCTGGCAAGGAGCTCACTTTATCTTTGCAGGAACCCCTCTAGATCTCCCCATTTTGCAGAGGTAGGAGTCAGGCTCAGTCCAGAGCCACACCATTCACAAGAGTGCATCTGGGATTCAAGACCAAGCAGCCTGGCTTCAGAAAGCTTAACTCTGCTTGTCACCTCAAACAGACTCTGTCCTCAGCTATGAAAAGAGACACATTCCCTGATGCCCCCTACTCCTTGGGTTCCTCTAAAACCCTCAAGTTAGCATCCTTGGACTTCAAACTTTATCCTTTCCAGGGCTGTTGCCAAATCTGGGCTTTCTGCCCTCCCCTTCACATCCAAGAGCTAACTCTCCCCCTCCAGAAAGAAGCGAGATCTGGAGATGCTGAAGTAGAGGGAGGAGGCAGAGCCTCCTGGACTGGCTCTTGATTTCCATAGCAACAGTCTGCCTGCACTGTTGCCTAAGAGAGCTAAGGAAGATAGGGAGTTGGCACCAAGCTAAGATTGCCTCTCCTGCCTTTTCCTCCTTTCCCTTCCCTGCTTCTTGTCAGCCAGGTTGATCAGGAATCCTGTACCCAGTCAAACTGCAGGATGGAATCCATTGCACCTTCCTTCACTGACTCAAAGCACAGAGTGTAACCTTTGTTTTGGGGGTACCCTTGGACAGAATAACACTCCTCTCGCCACATCCCAAGCTGTGAACTGTCCCCACAGGACCTCATGAGTGTCTCCCAAGGTCCATCCAGGGCCTGGCAAGAGTAGACATTCAATGAATTCTCATTGGATGGGTGGGTGGGTAAAGGGATGGATGGATGGATGCGTGGATAGACAGTGGATGGATGAATGGTTAGATGGATGGGTGGTTGGGTTTGTGAGTTGATGAATGATGGACAAATCAGTGATCTGCTCTGTGCTCTGCCACAGTGGTTCATGTTCATTTCCTCATGATGCTATACTATCATTTCCCTGGGGTTTTGCCAACATGGTCTCCTCTGCCCATGCTGCACACACTCACTCCTGTGACTCCTTCACAACTTAACATGGAAGTCCTTTCACCAACGTCCCAAACATCAAGGATAGGCATTTAGCCTGCTGGTGAATGCTCCAGTTAGGATATCTGTATTCCATGGTGGAGTACCTGACTTGATCCTTGGCTCTGGCTCTTGACTCTAGCTTCCTGTCAGTGCACACCTGGGGAGACAACCGGTGGTGACCTGAGTACTTGGATTCCTGCTACCCATGTGGAATACCTGGATTGAGTTCCTAGCTCCTAGTGCCAGATCTGGCCCAGTTTTCCCAACTGTTGTGGGAATGTAAGAAAAGAATCAGCAAATGAGATATTGTTTGTCTCGGTCTCTCCAATAAATAAAAGTTTTTAGATTCAAAACGTTTGTGCTTCATTGTCAAAAAAAATGAAAAAGATGAACAGCAGAATGAGATGAACTTATTGCAAAACACACCTTTGATAAAAGATGCAAGTGTAAGCCTGAGATGAGGGATAGGGTCTGATTGAAGCTGTACTGGGGAATCCAGGGGCCCTGATTTTGATGGTCTGCTCACCACACTTGTTCTTTTACAGCAACCCCATCACTGAGTGGAGCCTTGGGACCTGTGCTGAACCTTCCCTAAAGAACTGACTCAGGTAGGAAATCTCCCTCCTTATCTACAGGTTCACCATCCATCACTTCCTGGGGCCTGGACTCCCCCCAGTGGCCACCTGCAGAACTGTAGTTTCCTGCACAGCTGACCTAATGCCTGACCAGGCTCAGGTGTCTGCTGCATCCAGGGAGGCCCAGCTGCTGCCATTGCTCTGCTGCTTGCTTTCAGGTGCACAGGGGCCAAGGTGAGCTGTTTCATGCTTGCAGCCATGTGTTGCTGCTCTGCCTAGGTTGCTATCAGTGAGCCAGGGTGGAGAGATAGATCCTGAACAACAAAAGAATTTCTGTTTGCTGTGAGACACGAATCCAGAGGTCCAGAGTGGGAGAAGTTGTTGTGCTCCCTCTCCTCTTTTCCAGGAGGACCCCACTGAGCTCTATTTTTTGTGAGTGAGCCTGAGGGACCCAAGAGACCCCATCTCCTGCCCTCCCACCCTCTGCCTTCATTCTCTTCTCCAACCCCATAGCCCAGTGCTCCCTCTTCTGTTGTGTCACTAGAAGTCACACTCACCTCTCATATTACAAGTATTTATGTGATGCTTCTGCATGACTGACAAATCTTCACTCACCACCCTTAACAGCCCTGGAAGTGGGTGCCAGGGACTGTTGCCATCCCTGTTTGATGGGTGTGTAGAGCAAAGCCTGGGACCTCAAGTGTCTTGCCCAAGCACCCCTGGCAAGGAAGTGATGGAGCTGGGCTTTGGTGACTGGATCCATAATGTGCAGAAATACTCCAAGCTCCTGTAAGGAAACCCCAAGAGACCTTCCCTTGTCCCCAGACTCAGAAAGGGGGCCCTGCCAGGATATCTGCCTTGTGCCTCTTTGCAGCTTGCAGATGCTACCTCATACCTCTCTCATTTAAGTCCCTGTCTTGGCCCTTGTGGCACGGGGTCCACCTGGAACCCTGCTGTCCCTCTTCCTGACAGTCATCAGCTTTTCCCCAGCAACACTTCTCTACCCCAGACGAGTTTAGTCCCTTCCCCACTGTTCTTCATCACCATCCTGTCTGCTTCCAGCTGCTGGCAGAAAAGTTCATCTTTCCCATACTCTGGCCTCTTGGCTCCTCAGCCACTCACTCCCAAGGTCATGTTCTAGACCTCAGTCGTGATCAGTATCTACCACTTCCCCCGTACTCTCAATGGCACATGACCCAGCCTGACTGCCAACGCAAACCTTTGACCACTCAACAGTTTTTCTTCCCCACCCAGAACTTCCACGCGCCAGCATGCCTCATCCTCCTAATGCATTTCCCTGGCCCTCACTAAAATCCCATAGAAAATCACTCAATCCACACATGTCCATGCTTGGGAAAACCCCTTTTCCCAAAGAACTCCAGGCTCGTCATCTGCCACCACACGGATGCCTGTGGCTGGGCACCACGCAGTGAACTTGACTGCTCACCATGGGTCCACAGGTGAGCCTTGGTGCTGCCACCCGGCAGTCCTGACACAATCCCCTGACACAATGCCAGATTCCCCCAGCCTCAGACACCTGTCACCTGCCTGCGGGCACCATGTTACAGTCAAGAACTCATTTCCTCGTTCACTGAGTTAACAGAAGCAGTGAGGAGGGGTCTGATGTATATCTCCTGCACACCTGGCTGTAATGGCTGGATCTGGGTCGATTCTAAGTCAGGAGCCAGTAGCTTCTTCCAGGTTTCCCACGTGGGTGCAGGGGCCCAAACACTAGGGCCATATTCCATTGCTTTCCCAGGCACATTATCAGGGAGCTGGATTGGAAGAAGAGCAGCCAGGAATCAAAGTGGCACCGATATGGGATATTAGTGCCTCAGGCAGCAGCTTGACTCACTATGTCACAACACATATCTTTTTTTTTTTTTTCATCCAAAATACTTTGATTAACAGTAGAGAATGCAGGGTTACTTTTTATAGCCGCAACTGGCCTGTCTGCCTCTGGTGTGCTCCAATTTCCAGCCCATGGAGCAAATATAGGGTTAGTGTGGCTGTATGGGGTGTCTGGGGTCTTGCCAAAATGCCAGCATACTTCCCAGCCCTTACAAGGACCAGAGAGCAGTACAGTGCCCCAGCCCTTGGGGGAGTCCAGCGCCAACTGGTTGAAGGTGAGGATCTTGCCCCCAACTTGAGAATACAGCTGTGGATGCGGCTGATCACGTACAGGGCACACACCTTCAGCTTGGGCAACTCCTACATGCGTACATCATCTTGGTTTCCCAGCCAGGAAGCTTCATCTTCTAGATCATCTGCGACAGTGAGGGGGGCAGCTGGTTGGTGTAGCTCATGAACAGCCTCTTGAGTACCTCCTGGTTGAAGGTCAAGTTGGTCCTTTTGGCCAGAAAGCGGTCGAGCTTGACCAGCAGCCTCAGGTAGATGTCCTGGCTCTTGGGCTCCTTGCTCCAAACCTTTTGGTTCTTGTGGTGGCAGATGTCCACTCCCATTATGGCGCCTGCTGCCTGGCCACATCCAGAAAGAGAGCGAGAGGCCACACAGGTGTCTTAATCAGCATCTTAATCGCTAGGCCATTTGCAGACCCCAGTGACTCTTCCCTTACAAGGGATCTTTTAGGGACCAGTGTCATGGCACAGTAAGTTAAGCCTCCCCTTTCCCTAGCCACCCAACAGGCTTTGGTGTTTTTGGCAAAGTGAGAGCTGGACATGACTTTATTCACCAGGGAGCCTCCCAAGATGTCCGTGTCCCCAGACCCCCTGAGCATAAACAGGAAGCTCTACAACATAACGGTGGACGAGTGCTTCCAGTCGCGGAACACCGTCCTCCATGGGCAGCCCTTCGGGGGCGTCCCCACTGTGCTGCTCATCAACATCATCTCGTGGCTGGTGAGTCCAGGGGCGCACGCACGCTGGCCTGTTTGGTAGAACATTCACAGGTGACACCGGGGGCCTAGCCACAGTGCTGGGGTGCCCAGTGGTGAGCCTTGTGGGAGAAGGGGCTGGAGGGATGGGGCAGATTCCCTGAACTCTACTGCTGCACAGTTCATCTGGCTGCTGCCCCTTGCCACCCCACCCCTCAGTCCAACTGCTGGCCTGCTCTGTGCTAGCAAGCTGCTAGGTACTGGGAGTCCCAAGTGGAAAGGGCTGGCCCTTCCCCATCAGAGTCCACCATGCTGGGGTGGGGGCAGGTGAGGAGGAATCCCTGGGGACAGGGTCTGCCCCCCAGGAGAGCAGTGGCTGAATTCTCCTGCTCTCCCACACTCCCCTTACTTTCCCTGGCCTGAAGCTCGTTATTACGGTGTACTCCTTCCTGCGGAAAGCCGCGTGGGATTATGGGCGCCTGGCTCTGCTCATCCACAATGACAGGTGAGGTGGCTGGATGGGGGGTGGTGCAGAGGGAACTAGGGCAGGACACTGCAGGGGCAGTGAGTCGCCTGGGTCCCACTGCAGCGCGTGTCTCGGCAGGTGACATCATCTTACCACCATCTCCTGCCCCAGTGGGAAGGACGCTTGGAGGGCAGCTGTCTTGGGGGCACAGGGCCCTTTGTTGGCTCCGGGAGCAGGTTTTCTGGGCTCCCAAGGTGTGTGGTCCAGACAGGGCCTCCTCAACTTGGGCAGCCCAGAGGTGGAAGGTAGGAGCCTGAGGCATTTCTCGCCTTTCTCTCCTCTGCCACCTCCCTGTTCCCTGTCCTGCTGGCAGCCTGACCTCGCTCATCTATGGGGAGCAGAGTGAGAAGTCTTCTCCCTCGGAGATTTCTTTGGAAATGGAACGCAAGGACAAGGTGAGTGTGAGCTGGGCAGGTGGCCAGGTGTGCATAGGGAAAAGCCCAGATCCCCTGCAGAGCACCTGCCATGCCAGTCAGACTCTTCCAGCAGTGGGATCCTGGGCAAGGCCCTCAGCCCACCCCAGGCCAGGGTTCCCCATTTGAAAGATGGAGCCCCATTTCTGGTAATGGGAGGGCAGTGACGTCCACTCACTTCCCGGGAGACCTTTCCTTCTGCAGCAGCACCAATTGTGCATTGAACCCCAGAGCAGGACTAAGGTGGAAGTACCTTTCCTGGGTTTCTCACTGTGTCTCCTATTTCTCCCCAGGGCTTCTGCTCCTGGTTCTTCAACAGCATCACCATGAAGTAAGCACCCGGGCTCTGTGAGCTTGTGATAATGTGGCTTGAGGGTGGGGGTGGAGCCTCCTGCAGGGGTTGGCAGCCCCCAACCCCAGATGACAAGACCTCTGCCCCTTGGCTGAGTGCATGCTCTCCAGGGTTCCAACTGATGAGATGGAAACTGGACATAGCCCACCACCCACATCACCTCTGCCTTTAGCCGGCGGAGAGGAATCGCTTTCGGTTTATTTATCTGTATTTGTTAGAAAGACAGAAAAATAGAGATCTTCCGTGTGCTGGTTCACTCTCCAAAAGCTGAGCTCAGCTGGACCAGGCTCAAGTCAAGAGCCAGAGCTAAGAACTCAGTCCAGGCTCCCATGCGGCTGGCAGGGACCCAGCCCCTTGAGCCATCGCCTGCTGCTTCCCAGGGGGCACATGAGCAACCAGGTAGATCATTCCGGTTTATCACCATGTCTTATCACACAGGTCAGGATTCTTGGGCTTATTCCACCTGTAGTAGACGTTGAGGCTGTGTTCAGATTGAGCAGATCCGGAATAAAGCATGTGTGAGACTGCTTGACATGTCTCTTGCTATTCATGTCTTGTGTTTCTCTTGGGTCTGAATCAGAGTGGAGCTGTATTTTCAGTCTCAGTGGGTGACGTCAACTCTCCTCCCAACTGGCCAGACCAGTACACATACCCAGGAGCGTGGGAGAGTTCCCAGTGCCCCACAGCCGGGTCAACACTCAATGTTGCCTCCCTTTTCTAGCTGTAACCCCTCTGGCCGATTGTATCATTGTAGTGTTCAGGGATTCCCTTTTAATTTAAGAAATCACACGACTCATTCTTTTATAAGGTGCATGTCAATATGGCCAGTGTTTTGTCCAGTGTCTGCACCCTAGCAATGCTTCAAAGAAGTAACGAAATGACACAGGAATGCTTGATTGGGCCAGTGCTTCCAGATTGCTAACTGTTTGTGGTGTGACCTTTGTCTTTGATATGTGTGTGCGATTCAGGGAAATGTACTCAAGGTATAAGAACAGCAATATAAAGAAGGTTTTATTTTCTCTAAGGAAAAAAAATGTATAGGTTGAGGGTTGGTGGTAGTCTCCTCTTCCATTCGTCTGCTTCCCTCACTAACTGAGATTGTGGCCACCGTGGTTCCTGAAGAATGTTCCCATGTGTGTGCTCCAGGGACCGGGATCTGATCAGCAAGTGTGGAGACGACGCACGCATCTACATCACCTTCCAGTACCACCTCATCGTCTACATGCTTATCCTCTGCATTCCCTCTCTGGGGGTCATTCTGCCCATCAACTACAGTGGAAATGTGTTGGGTAGGCAGAGCACGGTGTGCCTGGGCCCGGGGCCAGGAGACCTCAGGGGGAGCTTGGATCTTGGGGCTCTGGAAATCTGGGTTTGAATCTCACCTCTAGGAGTTAGTTGTGGGGCCTTAGGCCAAGCCCTATAGAGATTGGAGACACTGCCTGCTTTGTCAAAAATTTGACCTGAGCCTGGCACAGAGCAGTTGCGTAGTGTTAATTCCATCTGGAACTGAGTCTTTATTCTTATTCCCACACCAGACCTGGCCAGGTGTTCTTGCAAGCCCTTGTAGGGGATGTAGTCTGCCTGGAACTGGGAATGCAATCCAGGTCTCCAACATGAGTGGCAGGGCCCCAGTCGCTTGAGCCATTCATTACCCAGTGCCTCCCAGGGTGAGCACAGGCAGGGAGCTAGGCATCAGGAGCAGGCACCCTGATATGGATGCAGCATCCTGACCACCTGCTTAGCTATGCAGCCCAACAGCTACAGGGCAGGATGTCCATTACAGGGCAGCTCCTGACACTGCCAACAGGGTTAATCCTGTCGAAAGGATAGCCTCATAGGTGGAGGCCTGAATTCAAAGTTGGGGAAAGCTTTTCTTTTTTAGATTTTATTTATTTAAAAGTTACACACACACACAATTTTCCATTCACTGTTTCAATCTCTAGATAGTTGCAATGACCAGAGCTGGGCCAGCCTGAAGCCAAGAGGCAGGAGCTTCTTCTGGGTCTCCCACATGGGTGCCGGCATCCAAACACTTGTGCCATCCTCCACTATCTTCCCAGTCCTTAAACAGAGAGCTGAAAGGGAAGTGGAGCAGCCAGGACTCAAACTGGCACCTATGTGTATACCAGCATTGCAGGTGGTGGATTAAGCCACCATGCCACAACACTAGCCCCTAAGACAAGAAAATCTTGACTCTGCAACTCTGACTCATCTCTACTTACCTAGGAAGTCCAAGTGAACAAATGAACAAGTCTTCCAGTGGGCAGCTGTCTCCCCAGACCTTGATTTCCTTAACCATCTCGGGAAATGTGAGATAATGGATATGTACAGCAGGTGCTGTCGAAAAGCCACAGTATGACTCACTCCCAAGATATGCTACGTGAGGTGCTGTCAGATTGTACCTGAACTGGCCCAGGTGGCAACACATGTAACCTTGACCTCTCAGATTTCTACTGACTTCTCCTTGGCCACAGACAGTACATCATTGATTCAGCAGCACATGGAGCGCCCCTGCCACCACATTCTGCTACCATAGCAAATCACTTCCAAGTCCCATCTTCCCACACTCTTCTCAGAGCCAGCTTGTCAGCAGGATAACCAAAGGCAGGATTTCCAGACACATGTTACAAAACCTGGGACAAACTGATGCACTTAGCCTGAAGGATGATACAGCCTCCCATGTTCTGGAGTTTGAGGCTCTGAGAGCCACAGTTGCCAGTGTCCTTTACATTGTTAATGGCATAATTTACTCATGGCTGTGTGGCTGGCCCCTTTTTAATAAGCCTCCTGTGCCCTGGGAATACCCTGCACACTTGGTGGCCGAAGACTCCCTGCTTGAAAGTTTTGTTGGCAGTTGGGGACCAGCTCTGGGGAGCTAGATACACATAGGTATGTCTAGCTTGAACCCCCCCCCACCAAGTGTTCATTTAGAAACTTTGAATTCTGACACCCTAGAACTGTCACAGAACCCAGACCCCAAAGTCAGCAACTTTTCTTCTCTTTCAGACTGGAACAGTCACTTTGGCCGGACCACCATTGTCAATGTGCCCACAGAGTAGGTACCAGATCTCACCTTCCATCCTACTGACAGGGGTGAGGGTAGGATAAAAGACCTCCCCGCCCATGGTGGACTGTGGCGTGGACATCACTTGTTGATTCTGATGCCGTTCAGGGACCTCCGCACCTCAGAAGGATGCCACATTCTCATGATATGGGAAGGACTCAATGCGTTAGCAGCCCCTTCTGTCGTGAGTGGAATCACCCAATCAGCATGGAGAAATGGGTACTTTGTATGTCAAGCTCCCAGGAGGTGGAAACCCCGAACAGAGGGAGAGGTTCTGGTCAGCCCTTGCTGGGTGAACCATGAACCTGACAGTTCCTACCCCCCATGACTCTCATAGCATGAGGGAGGGGAGCTGAGGAATCCAATGACCTCTGCTCTTGTACCACCTCTGCCATTAGCCATCCTTGGATCTGGGGCAAGGCGCCTGCTCCCTCAGAGCTTCAGTCCTCTTCTGTGATGGAAGAGGAGCTGTTGGACATGACCGCTAATCTCCTTCCCCTCACAGTCCAGGAACCTGTGGGTTGCTACCCTGACTACTGACCACCTCAATTTTTATGAGCCACCTGCTGAGGCCCAGCGGGTTGCCCTGGCCCACCTGCTAAGAAGACTACAGAGCAGTAGTAGGGAGTCGCACATTTCTCTCCTACCCCTTCCCCCTGAACACCTCTGTCCCTGTGCCTCCCATTTACTGGCCACACACCTGAAAACAGGCCAGGGTTGTCCAAACTCTGAAATCAGCAGGCTGTGACCATGGCATCACCTCACCTCCTCTTTTAGCAGCTGCCCAGCTAGACTTGCTCACCAGAGCAGAGCTTCCAGCTTCTGTCCCAAGCCAGTGACTGTCCTGAGATGGTGACACATGCCCAAGAAGAAGCCATTCCTAAGAATCCACTAAGAGCCCTCAACGTCCCTGGCTCCATAGAGGCAGAGCTGGAATGGACTCTGACCTCTCCGGAGAAACTGAGGACTGGGTTTCTAGCCGTAGAGAGTCAGGCACTGACGCAGGAAGTGGAGAAGGTGTTTGGCTGTGTTCTTTCTCCCACTTATTTGAAAGGCAGAGAAACAAGAGTCAGAAGGACATCTTCCATCCAATGGTTCACTCTCTCCAAATATCTGCAACAGCCAGGACTGAGCCAGGCTGAAGCCAGGAGCCCAGAGCTCAACCCAGGTCTCCTGCGTGGCTGACAGGGGCCCAGGTGTTGGAGCCCCTGCTGCCTCCCTTCTCACTGTACATCCCATTCTATGCTACTGCGCATCCAGGCTCAAGAGGGGGCCAAGCAGGACTGGGACAGTTGAGGGGAAGGTTCGGGGGACTGCGATGAGAGGGGTCAGGGAGATGGTGATGGTATAGAAGGTCCTAGAGGGACTGTGATGGTGGGATGAAGGATCCAGAAGATGGTGATAATTGGGAAGATACCCAAAGGGTGCCAGTGGGGTGATGGGTGAGGGGCTGGGAGACTCTGGTGATGGAGAGCCTGACGTGCTGGAGGGGCCGGGAAGCTGCATGGGGGCTCTGGGAAGATGGCCAGTCTGCACTCTCCTCCTAACAGGAGCAAGCTCCTCTGGCTGCACAGCATCTTCGCTTTCCTGTATTTCATCCTCAACTTCATGTTCATGATTCGTCACTGCCTGGGGTTTGTACCCAGGGCAAATCAGAAGGTGAGTATGTGAGGAGCTTCGCAGGTTCCTCCTCACCTGGGTCCCACCGTGCCCCCAGGCTGCAGCGTTGCCCCAGCCCTGCAGATCCTGGGAGTGGGGGGCCTCCCCTGCATGGAGTCCAGCCTCCTCCTCTCAGCTCTGGTACCCCATGAACTCCCCTAGTCCCTCCCCATCTGGCTACTCAAGAGTTAACAAGCCCCTTGGGGCTGAGTGGTCAGAGCCTGGCAAGACTGCCAGGTGATGATTTCTACTGGCCTGGTTTTTCTACAGTCTGTCTGAGCCCACAGACCCACCCTGCCCTGCCCTGCTCTGCCCTGCCCTGTATGAGCCCTGCTCATCTCCATTTGGGGGACCCCCCATCATCCCATCTCCTAAGCAGACCCTGAGGCATCCCTGAGGAGCATTCAGTTATCTGAGCAGTGATCTCAGGAGGTGCTGCTCGGGGAGGGGGATAGAACCGATCAGCCGGACTTTGAGGGCAGCTTGCTAGCCTCTCCTCAAGTCTCCCTCACCTCCCCTCAGCCATGCCCACAATGGGGGTCACAGTCCCCAGAGACACAGCTTGCTGTCTTCAAGGCTGCAAGACTCAGTGGGGACAAGGACACGTATGCTGGCTGCTCCCTGGCTCACTTAGCAAGGAGTCCTTATGTGTTGGGCCTGTGAGCAGAAGGCCTGGTCTCCTGGGGTGCCAGAGAGCCACAGTTCCAGATTCCTGCACAAGCCCAGCCTACTTTCTTCATGACCCCCCTTCCCCTGCTCACCCAGGTCACCAGGACACTGATGATCACCTATGTGCCCAAAGACATCCAAGACCCTGAGATCATCATTAAGCACTTTCAGTAAGTGGCTCCTTGCTGAGGTGTTGGTCCTCTGGGTCTCCGTGGGAGTTGGCACAGGATGATGGGGTGTAGAACAGTCAAATGGAAGTTTTTGCAGGATGCTATTATGAACTTTTCTGGGGAGAGCCAGCATGGGGTGGTTGTGGTGTGTGGTGATCACTCCCCTTCCCCGCCTTCTCCCAGCCCCCTATGCACTACCCCACGTAGGGTGGATCATCTAGAACCATCTCTCAGGACCTCAAGCTCCCAGCACCAGCAATACAGTGCCCTGAGCCTGTTCACTGGGGCAGCTCTCTGCTGGGTGCCTGTGTCAGGAGCTCTGCCCACTGGCCCTTTTCTGGGCCAGCCAGTGAGGATGTGGCAACTTATAGGGTCAAGTTCTACCTTAGGAACAAGGCTCAGTTCTGGGAACACCAGACCACTGAGCCACCCTGGTCCACGGGCTATTGCACGGTGGCCATGGCAGCAGTGTGGGGAAGGGAGAGGTGACGCCTCCCCAGCTTCCACACTCACTAAGCCCCACCCTGCCCCATGTCTGTGACTGCAGCGAGGCCTATCCAGGGTGCGTTGTGACCAGAGTCCACTTCTGCTATGACGTCAGGACCCTGATTGACTTGGATGATCAGAGGTGAGGCCACAGCAGGGCCTGCTGGGATTGAAGTGAGCTGGGGGTGGGGCAGAGACAGAGGATGGATTCCCCAGGAGTCCTCTGTACCCAATGCTGTCCTCTCCTCCAACCCCCTGTTACCAAAAGGCGCCACGCCATGCGGGGCCGGCTCTACTACACGGCCAAGGCCAAGAAGACCGGGAAGGTGATGATCCGCGTCCACCCCTGCTCCCGCTTGTGCTTCTGCAGGTGCTGCACCTGCTTCAAAGAGGTAACTGGCACGGGCGGTGGGGTGCCCCTGGGCACAGTAGCACTAGGCAGCTGAGCATGAATAGGAAGAAGAGCCTGTCTCGGATGGGAGAACCAGAGAGAAGGCACAGGGAGAACAGAGCAGACTGCCGTCAGCTGCCAGGCCTCAGGCTTCCAGAAAGATATGCCAGAGACCTGGGCAGGCTCCAGCTTCCCTCTGCCCCTGTGGCTGGAAGCGACCTCCTAAGACTCAGACACCTGCCTCAGGGCACGACTGAACTCCAGCCAGGCCAGAAAAAGAATCTTCTGCCCTCTCCTGTCCCTTCTCTGGGTCCTCCCTCTAGTCCCCTGTGTCACTTTGCTGGTCTAAGGGTAAGGAGCCAACTTGATGGCTCTTGTGGCCTAGCCAACTATGCCACTGGGCTAGTGGGCGACGCAGACCCCACCTGGGGTCCTGGCCTCTCCAGCTCTGAGGGCCATCTCTCGCCCCAGGTAGATGCAGAGCAGTATTACAGCGAGCTGGAGGAGCAACTGACCGATGAGTTCAATGCCGAGCTCAACCGTGTCCGGCTGAAGCGGCTGGACTTGATCTTTGTCACCTTCAACGACTTCAGGATGGCCAAGCGGTGAGCATCCTCCACCCCCAGTTTGGACATCAGCCCTCCGCTTCCTGCTGGGAGGCCAGGGAGAACAGCTCATGCCTGAACTCCCGGGCCATATGCAGGCAGCAGCCACCTTGCTTTCCAGGCCTTGGCTGGGCGCTTCCCCCACTGCCCAGCCCAGCTCATCTCCAGGGTGGCCCTGAAACCCCCACTCTGCCCTTGTCTGGGCCCAGGGCTGGCCAGAGCAGCCTTTAGCCTCACTTCCTCTTCTGGATACTTACGTCATTTCTTCTCCCACCTCACCATCAGGTCAGCAGCCCTGCTCGCCCTCCTCCTCTCCTATTTCAGGCCTCTCCTGAGAGCCCTCCATACACAGCTCCTCCAGGCCCCAACTTCTGGCTGTCCCCTCCTCAATACGGAGTGACATAGGTCCTCTGTGGAATGTTCTAGAAGGCTCTTTCAGCCCAAGCCACACAGATGGGAGCTCTAACAGTCTGCTCCCTGGGGGAGCCTGGCTCAGGCCAGTGCTATGTCTGCACCTCCACCCCACTCTCAGTCCTCCAAAAGAATAAAGCAGCATTCAAGGTACAAGCTGCAAAGAACTGTGTGCAAATTTGCAAGTCATTTACCCTCAAACCTACCTGTCCTGCGCAGGTATGATGCGTGTGCTATTCAGTGAACATGTGGTGTTCAGCAGGTCCTCTGTGGGGGTCTCAGACGCCACTGTGCGGTAGGGAGAACCAGAGGATTCATGACAGCAGACATTGAATTCAGAAGCCAAAGCCAGGGCAGCCACAGGGCTCACACCCACACCCATCCATGGTCACATCTGTAGGTATCTCTGTTGAGGAAGCTGTGCAATTGACAGTGTGAGTTAGTAACTAATTCTCATTGATCCCACTCACAGAAAGGACACAGTGATTGCAAATGAGGCGAAAATCTGAGCCTCCCTTATGAACCTCAACCAGACTGTCCATGGGCTGCTACCACTGTTGATGGGGCGGCAGCCAACAGAGACCACATCATCTCTCCGCTTGCTGCTGGGCTGCCCGGGCACCCTCAAATGCCCCTTGCCTCTCTCCAGATACTAGGCCCACATCTGAGATCTTGGAAGATACAGTCAAAGCCTCAGGAGCCCCCAGGAGGTGGGCAGGCCCTGGGAGCCTGGCAGGACGCCTTCCTACTTATAGGCCATTGACCCCACCTCCTCTCCCGTCCCTGCAGTGTACTGGAAGATTACAAGTATGTTCAGTGTGCTATACTGCCTCAGCAGTCTTCTGTGTCCAACACCGTCAAGTCCTACCAGTGGAGGGTCACGCAAGCCCCACACCCCAGAGACATTATTTGGTAAGCTCTCTCTGTCTGTCCCCTCTCCTGAGCTGTCCTGAGACAGAAGAAGGCATTGGGACCTGCCCGCGTTGCCCAACAGAAACTCCACGGGTCCGTGGGGATGGGGCCCAGCACCATCCTACTGCAGCCCACAGCTGGGCTGGACTGTGTGCTTCCCAAGCAGGATGGCCTCTGGCACCCCCAGCATACTCAGGAGCAACCCATGCCAGGTTTGGCTCATGTGGGTGATGTGGGCTAAGCCAAGGCAAATGGCATGATGGAGGGGGAGCCCCAACCCAGGCAAGAGGCTGAATTAGACCAGGGCGGCTGGACCCATGGCTGCCCAAGACCCAGCTTCCAAATAGCCACCTGCTTCCTTCTGTCTCCAGGAAACACCTCTCCGTCCGACGCTTTCACTGGTGGGCCCGCTTTATTGCAATCAACACCTTCCTCTTCTTCCTTTTCTTCTTCCTCACCACGCCTGCCATCATCATCAACACTATTGACATGTACAACGTCACTCGCCCCATCGAGAAGTTGCAGGTGCCTCCTTCCTCTGCTCAGGCCAGGCCTTGGGGTGGGGGTGGGGGGCCAGGGAAGTCAAGAAAGAACTCAAGCAAGGATGGGGTGGGCAGGGGACAGGAGAGCTGGCTGGGACAGGGCTCTGGAGTCCGTATGCTGCCAGCAGGTGGAGTGAAAGTAGGGTCAGGGTCAGGGCAGGAATCCCTTGGTTCTGAAGGGGGATGTGAGTTGTTGGCCATCTCAGTGACTGAGGGTGAAGAGGCAAGAGAGAAGGGGATGAATTTGGGCATAGGTGGGTGGTCCAGTTGAGGTAGGTTCCATCTGATTGAGTTGCCCTGAGCCAGCAGGGGCTGTGACAGCAGGAGGCAAATGTGGGCAGCCTTGCTATCCCCTAGTTCTCGAAGGAGGAGATGCAGAAGTAGGGTTGAAGGGAGGAAGAGTGATGTGCATAAACCCCAGTGCAGGTGTCAGAGAAGCAGGTTAACACTTCTGCTCCACTTCCCTCACCTGCCATCTAGAGGGAGCCCAGCCCTGCGAGGGCCATCCCTGAAGCTGAAGGGTGGCCCTGGCTGACAGCCAGTTCCCAGGCAACTTGCTGGCCCAGGTCCCAGTTCTGTAGCTGCGGGGTTCCTCTAATTAATAATGAGTCCCTCCTTCCATACTGTCACCATCCTTCTTCCCAGCAAGTCGTTGTGTACCCATGTATGCACACATGCACACATGTGCATACACGCTCACACACACCAAGCCAGACTGCCTGTCTGCTGTGAACACTTGCCCTCTTTGTGCACTTCACAGTAGACCCCATGTCACATCCGTGCCGGGACCCCCACCGCCTTACCTGGGGCTGCCTCCTTCACCCTCCCTGCTCTTCCACCACTCACACAACATCATGGTCAAGACCATGGCAACTCCCCAAAGTGAGAGACCTGCAGCCGACTCTAAAGTCACTAACAATAGCCAAGGCTGCTCCTGTGGTAGCATCAGCATGGAAGGACTTGAGGGGGTACTCATGGGCACCCCACTTAACCTTGGGGTGGCAGCGTCTGCTCAGAGTTGGGCTGGAGGTGGAGAGGCCAGGGCTATGAGAGAGGTCGGGATGGGTACATGTACAGGCAGTGGCCTCTGACCCTGAAGCCTCTGACCCTCCTCCCTCCCGGCCCTGCAGAGTCCGATCGTGACCCAGTTCTTCCCCTCCCTGTTGCTCTGGGCCTTCACAGTCATCTTGCCTCTAATTGTCTACCTCTCAGCCTTCCTGGAGGCCCACTGGACCAGGTAAGCAGGGCCTCTGCCCCACCCTGCAGCAGCCTGGCACTTGAGCAAATATCCAGCTGCAGAAATAGAGTTGATTTGGGGTGGTTTTGATACCTGAAACCATCCCAATGTTTGCTCGCTTCAGTGTTTGTTTGTTTGTTTTAAAATTTAAGCATTTATTTGAACGGTAGACACACACACAGACCTTTCATCTTCCGATTCACTCCCTGCAAGGCTGCAAAGGCCTGGGTTGGGCCAGGCTGAAACTAGGAGCCCAGAATTCCATCTGGGTTGCCCGTGTGGGTAGGGCAGATCAAATCCTTGAGCCACCCTCTGCTGCCTTCTCAGGCTTATCAGCAGGGAGCTAGACAAGAAGCTGAGGCAGCCAACACTCTAACCATTGCTCTGTATGGAATGCCAGTGTTGCGAGTGGCAGCTTAACCCGCTGCTCCAGAATGCCAGAATGTTTTCTTTCAGAATCAGGTGCAGCATTGTCTTTGGGTTTCTGGCTGCAGGGATGCTGAGTCAGAGCCATCCTCTAAGATGTCTGGGGGAGGGAGGATAAAACCACACCCTCCCTGTCCCTGCTTGCTCAGTTGCTCAGCTGTGAACCTAGGGCAGGGCCAGGAGTCGCAACAGAAAGCACAGGATGAGAGCCTTGTTGGGGGCCCTAGCACAGGGAGCCATGAGTTCAGTATGATGTACAGTGCTGGTATCCTCAATCATCAGGAGATGCTCCACCTTGTTAGCAGCAAATCAGGTAGAAAGTATTGGCTGAATCCTGAGCAGATGCCATTCCCGTGGCCTCAAGTCTGCATGGTTCTCCAGTTCCTTGGGCCAGTGCTGTGGCGTAGTGGGCAAAACTGCCTCCTGTGATGCTAGCATCCCATACGGGTACACTGCTGTAAGTCCTGGCTGCTCCACATCCTATCCAGTTCTCTATTTGTGACCTGGGAAGGGCAGCAGATGGTGATCCAATGGTTTTGGTACCTGCCACCCATGTGGGGACCCAGATGAAGCTCTTAGCTCCTGGATTTGGCCTGGCCCAGTGCTGGCACTTATAGCCATCTAAGGGCAGGCAAGACTCTAACCATTGCTCCGTTGAGGGATGCCAGCATTGCAAGTGGCAGCTTAACCTGCTGAAGCAGTGAATGAACAATCTTCCTGTCTCTCCCTTTCTACGTAACTCTGACTTTCAAAATAAATAAGCCAACCTTTAAAAATTAAAGTTCCTGCCATTCTACCAGGCAGGGAGACAGGAGGTTTGTCCCAACACAGATCCTCAGTGGGCTTTCCTCTGTCCCAGGACAAAGCTCATATGGGTTGCTGATACTTGCAGGGATTTCCAATGTCATTGGTTATGTCTTTTTGAAATAACCACATCGAGCAGGTGACACATGTGTGCCTTCCCTCCCCTTCCTATGCCCAAGGCAGACATCACTAGTTCATTCCAGACAGTCCAGTGCACAGTGCTCTGTGTAGATGGTAGATATTCTGCACACCAATAAACTGAGTCTCTGGCCCAGATTGTTAGCGTCTCTCTGTCTCTCAGACCTTCGGTTCTTGTTGCATCTCACACCTTAATGAAATCTGTTTCCTTCCAGATCAAGTCAGAACCTGATCATAGTGCACAAGTGCTACATCTTTCTGGTTTTCATGGTGGTCATTCTGCCCTCCATGGGGCTAACCAGGTACCTCACTTCCAATCACCCCTCCTCTCTCAGCCAGGTTCGCCATAGCATGGAGACCAACTCCTATTCCAGATACTGTAGGCCCACTTGTGGTTGCTGCAAATCCAGGCCTCACATGACACTCCCAGAGCCTATCATGCATGGAGCATTAGCAGGCATCATGCCAACTCTAACATGTCAGCCATGGACCTTGCCCTCTGAGGGTATCTCTCCTTGGAGCAGGGGTAACAAGGCATGCTTACAGCTGCCTGCCAGCCAAGATGAGAGCAGGAAATCAAAAGAGGTAGACAGCACTAGAGAAGTGACTGGCAAAGATCTGCTGGCAGAGATGGCCTTGAGCTAAAAGACCCCAGGCTGGGGGCAGTGGTGGTCCAGCTGTGATGGGGGAGGAGGGCAGAGGCAGAGCGGGAGTTGGAGTCCAGCCAAGTCATTAAGATGGGGCGGGAACTTGGGTGAAGAGAGGGGCCCTCAGTTCACAGATGTGTTAACGAAAGGGTTGGCCGTCTGCTTGCTTCCTCCAGCTTGGATGTCTTTTTCCGCTGGCTCTTTGACATCTATTACTTGGAGCAGGCATCCATCAGGTTCCAGTGAGTAGCCGCCCTGGGAATCCAGGGTGCCTGTGGGTCCCCCTGAGGGTTCATCCCGGGAGGAGCCTGTGTATTCTGCCCTGAGCCCAGGGCCTGCGTTGGTCCCATGGGTGCAGATGAACACCAGCTCTCACGTTACACATCCTCATAATCTTTCTTATACAGTCACCCTTTGGGCAATCTGGCAAAACCAGAATGCCCAACTTGGAGTGATGGTTTTGAAATAATTGTAGACTTAAAAAAACAGAAAGTCACCCTCCCCAAACATACAAGGGGTGTGTGTTTGTGCACATGTATGTGGACCATGTGCCCTCATCTGGTTCCTCCAATAACATTTTGTAAGGCTTCATATAGTATCAAAACCAAAAAGCTGGCATTGCTACAAATGACAGAGCTTATTCAGCTTTTTTGCAGATTTACATGTACTCTACATTGATGTTTTTCAGTGCACAAAATAACATGGATTGCAAAGAAAACCAATTACACTAAAATAAACTGTCAAAAATTTTTTACCAGATTTATTGATTGATTTGAAAGGCAGGCTTACAGAAAGAGTGGGAAAGACAGAGTTATAAGACCTTGCACCTGCTGGTTCACTCCCCAAATGATTGCCACAGATGGGGCTGGGCCAGGCTTAAAGCCAACCATCAGGATCTCCAATTAAGATTTCCCACGTGGATGCAGGGGTCTAGATGCTTGGACCATCTTCCACTCCTGTCCCAGGCACATTAATAGGGAACTAGATTGGAAGTGAAGCAGCTGGGACAGAAACCACTTGGAATATCTGTATACTGTATCGGAATGCCTATTATGTGCCTTGGCTCCTTTGCTTCCTGCTGATACATCCTGGGAAGCAGTAAATTATGGCCTAAGCGCTTGGGCCCCTGTTAACCACATGGAGACTCAGATGAAGCCCCTGGCTCTTGGTTTTGGCCTGGCTCAACCCTGACCATTGCAGTCATTTTGGGGGAGTAAACCACTGAATGAAAGATCTCCCTCTGTCTCTCTGTATACATATGTATACACACACAGAGAGATCTCTGTACACACACACACATTGAGTCTCTAAGACTGGAGGGGTATAAGTATATCCTTCTCTTTCTGTAACTCCACCTTTCAAATAACAATAAATCTCTTAAAAATCAGTAAAATATAACTTTTGCTTTTCAAGGTCTCCCTTGTGGGCGGCATCTTCTGCTGCCCTCTCCAAGCACATTAGTTAGCAGGAACCTGGATCGGAAGTGGAGCAGCTGGGACTCAAACCCTATCTAGATATGAGAAAACAGCATCACAAACAGTTTAATCAGACACATTACAGCACCAGCCTCTCAAAGACACATACCTTTTCATTCCAGTTCCCAGGAGCCTTTTAATATACCCGCATCCTTACACACAGTGGCTTCGGATGGGCTACATTCGGAGAGAGGCATTGTCTGTCAGAACTCCAAAGCGTGCTCTCCCAGACTGAAGCGGCTGTAGTGTGACCCCGAGAGTGTGCACTCCCAGTGTCCCCGGGTGGCACATCTGAAGGACACCTTGCTAGTATGGCCCGTTGTTAACCAAAGTATTGACTACAAGTGAAAGTTGATTGTCTTTGTGTCTCCACCCCATACCCACTGCCTCTTGGCTTTCTTGTTCTCTCTCCTCCTCCTCCCTCCCCACCTCCCTGGCTTCTGTGGCCACCCTCCAGGTGTGTGTTCCTGCCAGACAACGGCGCCTTCTTCGTCAACTACGTGATCACGGCCGCACTGCTGGGCACTGGCATGGAGCTCATGCGTATGGGCTCACTCTTCCTCTACTGCACACGCCTCTTCTTTTCCAGATCAGAGCCCGAGAGAGCCCACATCAGAAAGGTGAGGGTGGTGAGGTGGGCGTGCAAGGCAGCTGTGAAGGCACCACCTGGAACACCTGCCTGCATCCATATTGCAGACCCTGGCTTTGAGTCCTGGTTCAGCTGCCCATTCTAGCTTCCTATTAAGGTGCATCCTGGGAAGTAGTAGGTGCCTTTGGCTCAAGTACTTGGGTCCCCAACCACAAGGGAGACCTGGACCGAGGTCTCGGCTCCTGGCTTCAGTCCCAGCCCCCATCTCCCTGCCTCCTGGATAAGGAGGCTCTTCCAGGAGTGCAGCCTTAATTGTCCCTTGAGAGGTTGTTGGGAAGGGATCCTGGAGTAGGTGGTTGGCTGCCGGCTGGGCTGCAGGCTGGGAAGAGAGGCTGCCTCCAGACTGAGCTGCCCATGAGGGTGAAGAAGACCGAGGGGGCTGGGCCACCTCCAAATGACCCCTGCCTTCTACCCCAGAGCCAGGCCATAGACTTCCAGTACGGGCGAGAGTACGCATGGATGTTGAATGTCTTCAGCGTGGTCATTGCATACAGCATCACCTGCCCTATCATCGTCCCCTTTGGTGAGTTCATTTCTGGGGCACAGCCAAGGCTGCACATCCTTGTGCTGGGAGCAGGCATCACACCCCAAACTCACCTCCATCATGCTCCACATTCCCTGGCCAGGCCAAATAGCTGTTGACACAGGATGCTTGTCTGTTGAGTACATGAATGAACGACTCTTCCCATGCTGGCAGGGTGGGTCCTGGGGGCTCCAGTGGGTACCTGCTGCTGTCAGACCCAGCACCCTGAGGTTCCCATAACTGGAGGACTTGGGGCCACACAATAGTCCTGAATGCTTCTTGCCCTTCTGCCCCTCCCCGCCCCCAGGTCTGCTGTACCTTTGCATGAAGCACCTCACGGACCGCTATAACATGTACTACTCCTATGCCCCCACCAAGCTCAACGAACAGATCCACATGGCTGCCGTCCACGAGGCTACCTTCGCACCACTCCTCTGTCTCTTCTGGATGCTCTTCTTCTCCATCCTGCGCTTAGGTGGGTCTCTGGCCTGTGCCCCCTGCTCTGGGGGCCGCTCAACCCTAGCCCAGTGAGGGGAGGAAAGACCAGGAAGAACTGGATATTGCTCGTGACAGCAGCCATATGTGGTGACCCCTGTGTGTCTACACGTGGGTCTCTTGGAGTCTTGACAGAGCTGGGAGACAGAGGGGAAGGCTGGAGCTCACATGGTTCAAATCACATGGATCTGAAGCTCTTGCATTCATGGAAAGAAACTTCCTTCTAGGAAGCAACACATCAGCAGTTGGCAGACTGTAGTTCCACAGCATTTCTGCAAATCCTGTAAGGCACCATGAGCCTGCAATGGAAGACAACAGTTGGCTCAGTGCAGCTTCCCCTAGCCATTTGGCCACACAAAGCTGCTCTCTCCACCCAGACCAGGCATTGCTCAGTGAGGGACCCTTACCTTTCAACCCCATGCATGACCCTTAGACATGTGGAAAAGAGAAGGAGGAAGTGGTGTTTGTTCATTTCTCCATGTTAACAACATCTGTAAACAGTGCTCCAGCATTTGGGGGGGGTTTATTCATTTGTCACCTCAAATTTTAAAAAAAAAATTTATTGGAGCCAGCACTGTGGTGTAGGAAGCTGCTGTCTGCACCATTGACATCCCATATGGGCACCAGTTTGAGTTCCAGCTGCTCTACTCCTGATCCAGCTCTCTGCCAAAGCACTTGAGAAAGCAGCAGAAGATGGCCCAAGCCCTTGGACCCCTGCAGCCAAGTAGGACCCCCAGATGAAATTCCTGATGTTGGTCTGGTACAGCTCTGCATGTTACAGCCATTTAGAAAATAAACCAGCCAACGGGAGCTTTCTCTTTCTCTCCATTCCCAACTTACTCTCTCTAATGCTGACTTTCGAACAAATGATAAATCTTTTTCAGGGATTTTACAGAGAAAGACATCTTTCATCTGCTAGTTCATCCATCTACCCAATGGTCACAGTGGCCAGGGTGCGACCAGGCTGGAGCCAGGAGCTTCGTTTGGGCCTCCAACATGCTCATCAAGATTCCTATGCTCAGGAAAGGCTTTATGGAAACAACTGAGTGCCAAATGGCAGGAAGAGGCTAGTGGGATAAGAAATAGGTGATGAGCAGATTTCTGAGGGCGTGTCTGGGCCAGGTTCTCTGTCCCATGCTCGAAGCTCCTGCAGAGTTGCAGAGAGGGACTCTGCATGGAGTGCTGCCTGCCCCTCGGGGTGGAGTTTTGGGGTGCAGGCTTCAGGCTTGCAGTGCACACCCTCTCTTCTCCACACAGGTACCCTACACAACATCACCATCTTCTCCCTGGTCTCACTGATCATTTCCATGGTGATCGCCTTTGCTGGCATTTTCCTGGGGAAGCTTCGGAAAGACACTGACTATGAGGTGAGCTTTCCAGCCTGCCCTTCTTCCCCTTGGTCCTGGGGACACAGTCTCAGACCACCCTCTGCAGGTGTTGTCCCTCCTTTCCACCTGTGGGGTGTGTGAGTTCAGTGTATGTGTGTGTGTGTGTGCATGCACACACATGCCTGCACTGTCTCAGGCTGACTTGCTAGGAGCCACCTGGCTTCCAGACCCCAGGGTACAGAGCCATGCCTGTTGCAATGGCGGTGCCATCTGACCACTGGCCTGAGAGAGAGGCCTGACCACACGGCATGAGGGGCAGGTGGGTGGCTGATGATGACCTGGGTGAGGGGCATAGTCTTCACCTCACCTGCCAACCCTGAGGACACCATGTCTTACAGGAGTCCCTGCATGACTCTGTGACTCTTTGGCAGTGAGGCCCAGCCTGGTGGTCAGGCTGTCTGGGAGTGGGAAGCCCATCTGCCCTCCCAGAGCCCTGCCCGCAATGCTGTGTTCCAGCCCAGCCTGGCCCAAAGTAGGTGTCTGTTAAGAGGTCTGGGCAAGCGGTTCCCAGGGGAGCCCAACCTGAATCTCTTCACTTTTTTTGGTTGCCTATTGCATTACGGCAATGGGCACAGGTTGACTGTAAACAGTTGCCTTTTTAAATGAACTGATACAAAGAAAGAAAGGTGATATGAGTGCTGGTACCATGCTCAGCCTCTCAGATAAGGCTTCCTTTACTTCTGGTGTGTCTGCATTGGTGGGGGGTGGGAGGCGGGGTCTGGCCACAGGTGTCCTCCTCCCCACCTCTACCACCCTGTCTACCTGGCCTGCCCCTCCAACCATCATCTGGCCAGTGTCACACTAGAGAAGAGCCAGAGTGCTGGCTCTGTCTTCCTTCTGCAGCCATGTCCCCTGATCTGGTGGCCCAAGGGTCGTCTCTGGAGGACGGAGGCAGGGGACCTAGACTGCCCTTGTTAGGTAGAGGGGAGGTACCAGCAGGAGGGAAGACAGCATCAAATTCCAAGCTGCTCCTGGATCGGGCCCTACTGTGAATCCAATCCCAATGCTGCTTACTCTTTAGACACAGAACATTCCAGAAGGGACTGCTTAGCATCCCAGCCCTCTCTGTCTTTCCAGGCTTTTGGCACCTGCAGGTTAGGCTAAAGGTCTAGAAAGACAGAGCAGGGAGAGGCCCAGGGGCAAGGTGTGGGAAGCAGATACCTCGGATGTATGAGCCCTCTCCCCACCCCTACTCCGCCCCATCTCTCTGCTGCAGGCCGACGAGACTGAGACCGTGTTTGACATGGAGCCAAGCAGCACCTCCTCCACTCCCACCTCCCTCGTGAGTTACCTCCTCTGTCTTGGGGGACCATCGGAGGGTGGGAGGCTGCAGGGTGGCCTCCTCCAGTGGTGTGGTGGGTAGCACCAGCATTTAGTAACCCACATTGGGTCCTGGGGAGGAGACAGGGTCTCCCTCCTCCCCCCTCCTCCCCCCACCGCCCCAGGCTGCCTCCTCTGACGCAGCAGGACTTGGTCCAGGTCCAAGTGCTGCCGTGGCCCTGGCTGAAGATGTCGGAGAGGAGGCGATCCAACATTTATTCAAGCTTCACTAGAAGTTACTCCAACATGAACCTTTCAGACAGAAGGAGGCGCCCTGGGAGGAGGCACCCAGAGAGAAAGTACTTGGTCAGGGTGCCTTCGGATGTACAGACCTCAGTCGTGTAGGCACTGGGTTGTGCCAGGGCTCAGCCTCAGGACCGAAGGCCGCTGCCAGGGTGCAGGCACCAGGCAAAGTGGCACAGACCGGGCTGCACCAAAGGGTAAGGCAGGGGCACCCCGATGAGGGAAGAGTTGAGGCTGGACCCTGAGCAGGGAGGACCCAGCAGGCCAGGTGGGCATGGGCTCTCAAACCCTGGCTCAGCCTGCATCCCTATCCCCCAGGCCACACACTGAGCTGGTCAGTGTCAGCCTGGGACCCAAGGCCAGGGCACCTTGGAGGAGGACTGAAGAATGATACCAGGCAGCCTGGGGCAATCAGGAAGAGCTTCCCAACCCCACATGTGGTACTAGGGCTGCAACTGAAATGGGGTAGGGGAAGAACCTACAAGAGAGATGAGGGCCTGTGCAAAGGCCTGGAAGACAGCAGAGGGCACAGCCAGACCCCGTGGGGGAACCAGGCTTTCCTGGCTCACGAGCAAGTGCAAGTGTACAGCCAAGCACCAGGGGGTAGACACGCAGGTGCATCTGCAGCGTGCAGATACAAGGGCTGATCAGAACTCCAGGTTTGATGTAGGGAAATCCTACTGAGGGAGACACATGGCCTCTGGTTAGCGGCAATTTGGAGGTCCGGGGGCGGGGGCGGTCTGGGAGAAGACCAGGATCTCAGAGCAGCCAAATCTCTCGCCCTGGGGTCCTTCTGGGAGGATCCCCTCTGGAACAGTTACCCACAATCCTGCCTTCATGTCTCTTGCCCAGTGGAGGGTTTTTTTGCCTGCCACTCTCAAAAGGTCAATTAAGCTAGGCTCCTGGGCACTAAGCAAGCAAGTGGTGGAACTAAGTTCGTACCAGGTCCATCTGAATCTCAGATCTGTTTATGTCTCATGTCTTCATGGTGCTAGCAGTGGCAAAGGAAGATTGGAGCTAAAGCAAGCAAAGATAAGGAAACCAAAAATTCACATACCATTACCCAGAAATGCCCACTGGCACCTTAGTGCCTATTCTTATACCTCAGCTTTTGTTTGCACACATGTGCATATATATATAAGAGTATCTCTTCCAGGTAATAATATGTATATGTATATAATAATAATAATATATAATTATTATTATTATATGTATATATGTATATATATAGCCTTACATAATTTTCCTTTTTACTAAAATGAAACAATACTGCACATAATTGTGTGCAGCTTGCTAACAGTCTTCATCTTTCCTTTTTATGACTGACTACCAAGTCCCTATTCCAATTCTGCTAATTATCCCAGAAATATCCCTTAGGGCTTACCCAAGATAAGGTGCCATGTGGCACCGGGTATTCTGTTAGGTTCCTTGTATGTTAGCACAGGGCCATTTCCTCAGCTTGCTGCTGCGGCCCAGCCGGTGTCCCTGCAAAAGGTGCCACCTTCTGGATACTTCTTGCTGTTTCTTCATCCTGTCCTATGGCAGGCTTCATCATCACCTGTATTCCCAAAAACTAGAAGTTAGACCTGAAGGCTTGACAGATTCAAGTTCGGTGTGGGAGCCCAAATACATTGCAGATGGTGCTGTGCCTCACCCCAGGACACGCATAATATCTCATTCATTCTCATCAACAACGCTAACCTTACCCCACCTCTTCGCTGCTGACTTTTCTTGTTATCCAGTTGCCATTTGTCCCTTTCTGACCTGTGCAGGTTGACTTTGGCAGCATGCTAATGTCCAAACTCTCTTATAGGCAAACTGTTTCTCTGCCAACCAAGGCTGCTTGGTTTCACTGAAATGCACTCCTCTAGGAAAGGTTTGGTTTCCTCCAATGAGCTCCTGTTCCCTGAGTTTAGGGACCCCTCTAAAAGCCACTTCCCTGGCACTCCGGTAGTGTTTCTAGTCTGAGGCAATCCTGGGACCCATGTGGGCTTTGTCAGGTCACACGGCCAAGGTCTCAGTTCTGCAATTTCTGTTGCCAATCCTGATTCAGGGGTTGACATGGGGTGGGGTGTCTGGAGGCATTAGGAAGTGCACTGTCAGTGATAAGGGTCTCTCCAGGCCTCAGTTTAGGGGAACCTTAGACTATCTTTCCTGGGTCCAGCCCAACATGGAGTGGAGACCGATGGACACATACCCTGGAGGAACAGTGGATGAGCACTTAGGAGAACTGCCACTCTGCTAGTCTGGAGGCTCCCAGATGCCCATGAAATGACAGAAAATAGGATCCCAGCTGCGGGGGGAGGGGAAGGCTCGCAGCTGGGAGGAGGAAGCACAGAGGGAGAGGGTGTGTGGGGCTTCACTCCATATTGACCCTAACCTTCCACGTTGATCCTATCTCCCTCTCTATCCTGAGCAGCTATATGTGGCCACCGTGCTGCAAGAGCCAGAGATGAACCTGACCCCAGCCTCCTCCCCAGCCCATCACTCCTACGGTACCATGAACAGTCAGCCAGAAGAGGGAGAAGAAGAGAGTGGGCTGAGGGGCTTTGCTGGAGAGCTGGACTCAGCCCAGTTCCAGGAAGGGCTGGAACTGGAGGGCCAGAGCCAGTACCACTGATGACGACCTAAGGCCTCCGCCTGGCCACTCCAGTTGAGGGACCAGGGGACAGTCTAAGCGAAAAGAGGAAGGAGAGTGGCCCTGACCTCCCCACCAGCTCCTGCAGACTTCCTGAAGCTTCGATGATGACACCGGCCATGGCTGCCAGGAGGCCACATCTGCTGAACAACGTGAATGGGAGGTGCCTGGCTGTGCCAAGGGACCCCCGACTGGAAAGAGATGGAGGAGGTGGGCAGACACCATGTCTTGGGAGAGGTGGCCAAAGCCCAGGATATGGAGACTAGATTCTGGGTAACTTCCTGGGGTGAGGCTGAAGAAGGTGTGAGCAGGAGGCAGGAGGAGTGCCAGAGAAGGCTCTCCAGGGTCACTCCTGTACCAGCTGCCCTGGGGAGCTTGCTGCTGCCCCCACCTCTGTCTCCCCACCACATGCACTCCCACATTCCCCCTGCAGACCATGCAGGGCAGGTATGCATGCTGGGCCTCTCTGGTGAACAATTCCTGCAGAGGATCTGTAAAGCAAGGGGCGAAAAGAGGTGACTGGGCCTCCTCCTGGTCCTATGTCCCTGCTCGGACTCCCTAGGAGCTGTACCGGGGCCTGGTCACGCAGGACTCATTAAAGGAGACCTGTGTGCATTTTGATGAAGGAACTCTCGGCTAGTTCTTGATCATTCACACAAGGTGGAGGGGCAAGGGGCAGAGTTCACAGAGTGGAGGCGGGGCATCTTCTGCTCCCAAACTCTGGGCTGTAGGAAACTAGACAGACTTGCCTCAAGTTCCCAGGGCCTCTCCTCCAAAGTCAAGTAGACAGGGCCACTAAGAGCATTTCCTGCCTCCTACCCATAGCAGTGCCTGGGCTCCAGCTGGCCAAGATGGCCAACAGGCTAAGGGCAAGAAATCCAGGCTTCGAAACAGTGGCATCAACCATCCCAGCCCCCACATAGGATCCCTGTGCCCCTCTGGGCTCTGCACGGGACTGTTCCAGATGCCACAGGTGCATCCAGCGGTGATGTCACCCCAGCTCGGCCAGGATTAAGGTGGAAACAGGGATTGAGTCCCCACACTTCCAGGTAGAAGGACACTGCCTAGATGGGCCACCCCCTTCAGCAATGCTGGCAACCTTCCGCCCCTCTGCCTCTCCAGCAGGCTCAGGGTGGGGTTAGGGTGGTGATAAGCAGCATACACCCCAGCAGGGAGCCCCAGTGGGCCTAGCTGAGCCAGATCTGTGGCCCCCTCTCATGTTCCCCCTGCAAAGGCCCAGGTGGCCACCACCCACTTGCAGAAGGCAGGACCGAGGCTCCCTGTCATCTCAGCTTTTCCTCCAAGCCCCAGGCACATGGTTTCCCTGGGCTCCGGTCTCTCCAGCCTCAACCTTGCTCAACCTTCTCCATGTTCCAGCCCAGCCAAGGAAGAGTTGCTCAAAGGGAGCAGATCTTGCCATCCCCCGCATGGCTTGGCCCAACTGTGGCAAATGAGGATTGTTTGGAAGAGCTTGACTCTGCTGGCTTTCCTATTTTTTGTCCAGTTTGGAATAAAGCGGGAAGTTATGTCCAGCCAGGCACCACAGGACCGCCTCCCCCCTAGACCTGGCAGGCAGTGGAGACATGGCCAGTTTCCAGGGACTGCTCCACTCCTATAGTAGTGTGTGTATAGGCTGCAGAAGGCCCTGCCAGCAGCTGGCTGAGCAACCCCCCTAACCCTAGCATAGTCCCTACTGACCTGTTGGTCTGTGATCACTGGGTTGGCCACTGCTCGCCCCTCCTCCTCCCAACCCTGGAGTCTATGGAAGCCACAGAGGGGAAGGGTCCCACAGATTGCATGGTAGGATGGCTGGGCACATCTCCTTCACATCTGGGTCAAGCACCAGTGTGGTCCTGAGAGGGCCACAGGGTGACAATGAGCAAAGAGCCAGACTCACTGGCTTCTGTGTCCTTCCTGCAGACCTAGGGCAGCTGTTGACCTTGATCTGCCATGGTCCCTGCAGGGGCTGGAACTGTGCGAGGTTGGAGTGGGTTAGGTTGAGAGATACTTATCTCCTACTCATCACATTCAGGCACCCCCTGGCCACCTGCTCTCTGTCTCAGCCCACCCACTTAATCCTTCCAGGAGGGAGCTGCCTCCTGGTGGGGCAGGGGAGGTTGTGGCAGGGGGGCAGGTACAGCCTAGAGCTTCCTCTCTGAGGAGCCCCGACAGGGTCTCCAGCAGCCCCGTGCCTGCCTGCCAGTCCCTTGGTGGCTGCTCTCTGGAAGCAAAGTGCCTATCAGCAGCATTGCGTCCTTGGAGGGGGAGGGGTTCTGGAGTGGGGCGGGGACTGACCTTGGCCACCACCACTAAAAGAATGTGCCAGAATGCCGAACTGTATTCTTATTAACGCTGTGACTGTGCCTTGAATAAATATGTCCCCCCAGCCTCTGCTGCTTGTGCCTCTGCACCTGGACTGGCCCAGCCCGTCCTTGCCCTGCCTTGGGGAAAAGTCACAGCTCCAGTGGGAAGAGGCTGTGAAGCCAGCAGGCTGGGGTACTTCACTGGATGGCTGCTGCCCCCTCTGGGACCCTCCTCTGCCCCCCAGATCTTCCCTGGGCCCTTGGCCCCATGGTGAGGAGGTCTACAGGGGCTGCTGGGGGCTGTTGGAGAGGTAGGAACGGAATGTGCCTCTGCTGTGCATTAGGTGAGAATGTTCCAGAAACTTACCAGGAAGCTTTGCTTCTGGATTAATAGATGATAGGTCTAGGCCAGGGTCTGCACCTGCAGGAGATGGCGGAGAGACTGGGTACTGGGGAGGTGCACTGGTAGCAAGGTTGAGCCTTGGCAGGAAATGAAACACCCTCAGCAAAGGCAGCTGTGCCTGAAGCAGAGGACAAAGACAGCCCTGGCATGGGCCCCTATGCTCACATGGATTACCCAGAAGAACCTGGCTCCTGGCTTCAGATCAGCCCAGCTTGGGATGCTGTAGTCACTTGGGAAATGACACAGTGATAGAAGGTCTCTGTCTCTCCATCACGCTCTGTAACACTGCCTTCCAAATAAATAAAATCTTTCAGAAGAAACTGGGCCCGACATGATAGCGTAGTGGCTAGTCCTTGCCTTGCACCGGGATCCCATATGGTTGCCGGTTCTAATCTCGGCAGCCCTGCTTCCTGTCCAGCTCCCTGTTTGTGGCCTGGGAAAGCAGTCGAGGACGGCCCAAAGCCTTGCAACCTTGCACCTGCGTGGGAGACCTGGAAGAGGTTCCTGGCTTCGGATTGGCTCAGCTCCAGCCATTGCAGCCACTTGGGGAGTGAAGCATCGGACAATATTCTTCTCTGTCTCTCCTCCTCTCTGTATATCTGATTTTCCAATAAAAATCAAAATTTTTATTAAAAATGGAAGAAATACCACTCAAATACCAATCAAAAGAAATTGATTTTTAAATTAAAAAGCAACTCTCAGTGATGAGGACAAGGGAATAAAAAGAAAAGGAATTCCCTGATGCTAAGGGGGGATGGGTGCATAGCCTCACCTCCTTAACAACAAATGGAGACATGGCTTGGATCAGGAAGGGGTCCTCAAGCTGGAAACCCAGTGTCTCTCCTGCTCTCTCTGCCTCCCTGGCCCCATTCCTGCTCTTGGGTCAGAATTCCCAGTCTCAGCACCCGTGAGTGACTCTACGTGGAGGAGTGATAGTATCAAGAACATACTCCTCAGAGTACTAAGCTCTGAGCACTTTGCATGAGGTGAACTTGGAACTGTGCTTCCCTCCCAACTCCAGAAGCAGTGGGCACAATGGCCGTCCTAATTTTACAGAGATGGGAGCCCAGAGAAGCTAAGCACTTGCCTTGACAGCCTCAGCTTGGAGAAAGCAGACCCATGCGGAATGAAAAGGTGACCTTGGGGAATGCTGGGAGGCAGCCGCAGGACACCTCTCAGTCACACCTGGCATCTCACTGGGGTTTTGTGAAATTTTTGGTCAAGTGGGAGGACCTGGAGTTTCAAAGCCTGGTCAGAAGTTGGGGGCTAGCTGTGGGAGCCCAGGACCAAGAAAAGTCACCATGAAGGCAGCCTGGCCACAGAGGGATTCTGGAAATGCTCCAAGGTGCAGATGGAGTATGCCTCTGGCTCCTCCAGGGGACCTAAACATCACCTAAGCTGGTTAGCTTCTGCAATGGCAAGACCGGCATGGAGGAACGTGGGTTCTCTGGTCCTAACCCTTTAGGTGTCCAGCCCACTCTCCCGGCATTGACCCACAGGGGCAGCGTGGCCCACCCCTGCAGTTACCCCACAAGAACTTTGAGCACAGTGCGGGAACCCTCTCCAGCTGGCAGCCAACGCGGGCAGTGAGTCGTTGTGTGTCTCCGCTCCTCTGGCGCATATCTGCAGGTGCCCCGGCACTCGCCTTAGCAGTCTTCCGGGCAACTTTTCCCTGACTGACTGCCCGCCTTGCCTCCAATCCTCCCTGGCTAGCGCTCCACCCACACCGGGTTCGCCGGGACACCTTCACCTGGAGAACAGGTCGGCGCAGTGCACGAGCGGGCTGTGGCTCACCTCCCGCCAGCTCTGTCAGATCAGTTCTGGCTCTAGCCGCTCCAACTTCTTTGCAGGGGCACGGTGCTGGGACTTTCTCAGAGCCAGAGTTGTCACCGCAGATGCCACACCATCTTCTCGGCCAGTACCTCAGCCAGGCGGTGTTCAGCAGGCGCTTTTTTCTCGGGCAGACCCGAGAGAAGATGCGCACAGTCAGCTGCAGGTGCAGGCACCCCAACACGGGGCTAGTCCGTGACTCCTGGGAACCTTGTTTGGGGCCTCTGCGCCCCGCGGCTCTCAGAAACGTGCCGCCAGGGCTGGGGAGCTTTAAAGGAACCTCTGCCTCCGTCCCATTGCTGCCCAGCAAGGCGCCAGCCAGAATTCTCCGCCACCGCCACTGCCTTGGCCAGGGTCCACTTGGTGATCTGGGAAAGGCTTTAGAGCCGATGAGAAATAGAACCTCTTTAAACCTCAGCTCAGCTCCTCAGCTGGAAACTGTGTAAGAATCCTTTCCTTCAGGGGTCAGCAGGTGGCAGGCATATGTTGAAGGGGATCACCTTAGGTAGGGGTGCCCACTTCCTCCCCTTACTTGGAGGTGTTTCAATTTGCCAACCATCCCTCACCCCAACGCGCGCACACACACACAGCCGAGATCTCACCCCGATGCTGGCTTTCCGTGTGCAGTTGCATCCAGCTGTGTGCCCAAGCTGAGGCTGGGGGACCCTCTGCCCACCTCCTGGGTGTGACTGCAGCATCGGTCTGTGGTTGGGACCACCATAAGACCAATTAGAACTAACAGTTCTCTTGGAAGCATGCCACAACCCAACTCAAGGGGATCAGGTTTTGGAGAGCAAGCCCGTGGCACCCTGCTTGTTTGTGAGTCTTGGAGTCTGCCCACATCTCTCTGGGCCTCCGTTTCCTTAGCTGCAGTGCCCTGCAACCTGCTTGGTCCCATGGACGCGGGTGGGCATCCCTGGGCCAGCCGCATTCTGGCCTAGCCCTGCAGGCAGTGCTGAGTCCTTGCTTTCTGAAGTTTCCCCTTCCAGTGCAGAGGCAGGACTGAGCCCCAGGGGAATGCCTTCTTTCCAGTTCTGAGCCAGAAGCCGGCAGACCCGCCTCCATTTGCCCCTGGGTCTCCGGGTTGAGCAGGAGAGCAAGGGTGGAGGGCAGCCTGGCAAAAGCCCGTGTCCTGGAAAGTCGGTGCTCCTGGAGTGGAGGCTGAAGTCAGAAGGGACCCCATGTCCAGCTTGGGGTCCCTGAGCCCTGCAGCAGATGCAGGAAGTCACAGGGAAAGGCCACCGTGTCATCAGTGATTTGCACCTTTTTAAAAAATACATATTTTTTGAAAAGCAAAGTGATACAAATGGAGGAGAGGGAGGGAGAAGGAAAGACACAGAGGGGAGGAGGGGAGGAGGGGAAGAGAGTGTCTCTCATGCAGGTTTCCACTCCCATGAGAGTGCAGGGTCCCAAGGTTTTGGGCTGTCCTCGACTGCTTTTCCAGACCACAAGCAAGGAGCTGGATGGGAAGCAGGGCTGCTGGGACATGAGATGGCACACTTGGGGGATTCTGGTGCATGCAAGAATTAGGCTACCACGCTGGGCCCTATCTAGTCCTCTTGGAACTTGCCTGGCCCAGGCAGTTTCCACCTCCTGAAGATCCACAGGACCCACTTTCTCTGCCTGCCCTGCAGCTACTCTTGGTCCTCAGGGGGGCACCCAATTTCAGGGGCGGCACTTGCTCTCTGCCTCCCCAACCCTGTGCCCATAACATCCCTGCTGAGTACAGGGGCCCAGGTCGTGACAAGGGTCAGGCAACATGGCACAGTGCAGGGCCACTCATGGCTGTCTCAGCCATGACAAGCAACAGGATTCCAGCAACCCTGTAAGGGGGAAGACTCAGATATCCCTGGGGTACTCGGGCTCCCCAGCCCAGTGGCAGCCCTTACAGGAACTGGAACCAGAATAGCTCAGACCCCAGGCCCAGAAGGACAGGAGGCTGTTCTGGGAGCCAGAAAAGTCAGACTCAATTAAGGACGCCAAGAAGCCACAGCATACAAACCAAGAGCTATTTATTATTAAAAAGTTAGTGGCCTCCACTTATCTCTGGAAACCTTCATTTTCTTATTCTTAATATTTTTTAATGTTTCATATGGTCAAGGCACTGGCTGGAGGTGGGGTGCACAGTGAGATGTGGGCCACCTGCCATTCTTGCCCGTCACTAGGGCTGGAGCCCACGCAGAGGGGCAGAACCCAAGCACTCAAGTTGCACACCCCAGACTGATCAGGGGGCCAGCTAAGAACAGAGGGAGAGGGTGGGCAGGTCTCCTCCACCCATGGAAAGCAGTGGATGGGACCGAGGACACAGCTGTCCCCCAGGATGGCCAGACCGGCAGGCAGGCAGCAGCAATGAGCAGGAAGTTGGCCGAGCCGGATCCTTCCTTCCCTTCTTTCAGAGGCTACCCCTCAGAGCTCCTCCCCTCCAGCAAGTTCCTCATGGGAAATGAGGCAACCTGGGGGAGCATCGGCCACGTTCGGAGATCAGCGGGGCCATCCGCCAAAAGCCCAGCCTGGCCTCCAGTGTTCCACCTACAGGAGAGCTGGTCCAGAGGGGCCCCCACCCTGTCAGAAGCAAGCAGCTGTCCTGGATGGGAAGGAGAGGCAGAGCTCTTCGGTGCTTGCCAGAAACTCAAACAAGCAGCCCAGGCTCTGCACAGGCAGCTTCCTGCTGGGGGTAGTCAAAGGACTATAGTCATGGTGTGGGTTGGGTCATCAGGCCCCAGGTCTAATTAACCAGGTTGCCTTGCTCCTGACATGGCCAGTTTCCTCTATTAATGGTCATGACAGCTTTTCTGACTGAGCATGGCCCTGAAGCTTCCCTCCTCCCCACTATCCAGTAGGTATTGTCGCCGTGGCAACTGCCTTCCCAGCTGCTTGGAGGCACTCAAGCCTGTCAGGAGCTGCACGGTGAGGGAGATGGAGAGTGCCAACCTCATCATTGGCACTTGGGACTTCCAGTCCTCAGAGACACAGCCCGTGCTGAGGGAGGCTGGCTGGTCACTGGCCTGGCCACTCTCGCTCCCACCCAAGGGTGTTCTCCACCCTTGGGAAGGAATTGGTAGCACTGTTCTGATCTGGACTCAGTTTCAGAGTGCTCAAGGGGAGGAGCTGCCACACATTTCTTGGTGTTCTGGATCTTTGGGATAAAGAGGCTGGTGAGACCGTGTGGGCAAGGGATATGCTCCCAGGGTGAATGAGGAGACGTCCAAGGGGAGGCCAGGGAAGTGGAAATGGAAGGGCCAGCGGGCAACAGTGGCACACGCCCAAGTACCTGCTTGGAGCCCAGCACCACACAGCCTGCCTGCCTGCTGCCTCTCAGCTGTCTCCGCCGTCAGGAAAGCTTCCCTGGGACAGGCCCTCCACCATCAGGAGACAGCCCCATCCTGCCCTCATGGCCAGGCCAGAAGCTGAAGGAAACTGAGGGACAGCGAGGAACCCCTTCAGCATCCCCAGACCTGGGGAAACTGAGTGGCCCAGCACAGGACAACACTCTTCCTACTACTCTCACGGTGTGACACTCCCCAAGGGCTAACGAAGGCCACCCTGAGGCTGGGGCCTTCTTGGCCACACTGCTCTGGGAGCCTTGTACTGCACATGTCCCCTGCTGGCAGGAGGTGCGGTCACAGAAGCCACCAGTGGCAGCTGTCACTTTGGAAGCTCATGGCTCCTTACCCACCTCAGCTGGACGTGTCTGTAGGAAGGGGGCAGCACAGCTGTCACCGTCCCATCTGCTCTGCCCTTGGGGCCTGGGGAGGGAGGAGTCTTAACGGGTCTTACAAAGCCAAACCAAAACCAACCTAGTGAGAAAGAACACAAGACAACATCACCTTAGTCCTGGGCTTTCGAGTTTATGCAGCTTGCCAGCGGCAGTCGCCAGGCCCCTTGGCGTGGGGCCCAGTCAACCCTCTCAGCCAGGTGGGCTGAGAGATGCTGCTGCCCCCTGCAGGTGCTGCAGACAGGCGTTGTGCCTCCCCAGTGCTGGGCTCCATCCGGGTTTGCTCCCAGAGCCTGGTCCTGGTGGGAAGCAGAATTCTCCAGGCTCCTCAGGTAGCTTCATCCACAGCTAGAAGGGTCCATGGTCTGGTCCCAGGGCAGTGTCTGGAGCCAGGCTGGTATCCTTACAGTGGCCTCAAAAGTCCCATGATTCTAGCCACCTTAGTCCTGCCATTGGACTTTGGGGGTCCTGGGCTAGAGGACCAACCATCCCATAAGCCAAAGGGTGGAAGAGGTAGAAGCTGCAAGAGAGAGTTGAGGAAACATTGGCATCCCAGGCCTCCACAGGCCCTTGGAGTTCAGCACCTCCGGCCAGGGTTTGCACAACACTCCCCACCCACAAACCCCATTCCCTTTCAGCCCAGCTCTGACAGTGACAGAGAAGGTCTTCCTAAGAAACCATTGAGCAGGCTCTATCAAGGGACATGTTGTGGGCTGCTTGGCCTAGTGTCTGTCAAAACGTGGCTAAAACCCCCTAGAGCGGCATGTGCTCATGGGCACAGATCCCCCACCCCTCAAGAGCCATCAGCACATCGTGGGGCATGTGGGAGACGGTGGAACAGATGGGGCTCTCCAAATAAGTCTCCCACCACCTGCCAGCCATTCCACTCCCAGTCCTCCCATCTTCTCCCCTCACGGAGGGCAGCTCTGGCAGGGAACTAGTGGGACTACAAAGAGTTGACACACAAGACAGAAACCACTGGCAAATAGTCTGCTTCCAGCTCCCTCTTCCTGCTGCCCATTGGGGCCACCTGGGCACGTTGGAAACTGTGGCTGCCAGGGTTGCATGTGGGCACACCTGAGTCAGGAACACTTCCCCCACTCCCCCATCACAGGTGTGAGGCCAGGCACCAGTATATTTTGAAAGCAGCCTGGGCAATGTCATATGCACCTAGGGCCAATGAGCTCACAGAGGGGGCTGTGTGGGCACAGGTGTGCTTACCTGTAGACAGTCCCCAGGAGCAGGCTCAGGATTCCCACTGCATGGATGCCCTTGGCTATGCGCCAGGCACAGAGCCGTAGGAGGGTGTCCCACAGGATGCCTAGTGGAGAGAGAAACCCACCCCATCACAGGGTCAGACTCCGGGGCACCAAGTAAGGAGGCAGAGTTCGACTCAGCACAGCTGCTCCATGGTGACCTCACCCCATGCCCCGCAGCCCCACTCCTGCTGTGTGCCTCCCAAGTCTAGGCAGTTGGCACTGACCTGTCAACATGGTGGAGAAGAGCATGGCTGGGAAGTAGTGGTGGAAGTAGAGGATCCGGCCCATCAGGAAGAATGGGAAGTAATGGAGCCCCCAGCCAAGCAGGACCTGGCCACCTCCTCGCAGCAGGACCCGGGACAACCCTGAGCCCAAACAGCACCGTGTGGTCAGAGGCAGGGAAAGGGCAGAGACTCTGTGTTCTAGTCTGTCTCTGAAAAAGTCACATCACCACCTCCCCCTGCCTTCCCTCATGTGGATAAACCCAAACAACTCTATGGCAACCAGAAAAAGAAAAAACAACCGGGTCCCAAAAGCCCTGGTCCACATCTAGCCTGGGAAGGTCCTGGCACCAAAAGCAAGGGCACCACACAGTGGCAGAAGCTGAAGCAGTATCTGCAAGAAAGCAGCCCAACCTCTAACCAAAACAGCACCCCCAGAGGCAGCTTGCCTTCCTCACTCTCTGCGACCACCTACAGCTTTGCAGCAGCAACCAAGAACTAATACAGAGAATGGAGGCCATATTTTGGGATGATGACTGTTCATACATGGAGCTGCAGCGGTCAAAGAGGCCTGTATGGGTAGCTCAGCCCCAGGATCCTCTCCCATCCTCCAAAGGCTCTGAACACCTACTGGAAGACAGGGCCACAGAGTGAGGAGCAGAGGATAAGACAGGCTGCGGGCCCGGTGCGGTAGTAGTGGGTAAATCCTCGCCTTGCATGCACCACGATCCCATATGGGTACCAGTTGGTATCCCAGCTGCTCCACTTCTCATCCAGTTCCCTGCTTGTAGCCTTAGAAAGTAGCAGAGGATGGCCCAAAGCCTTGGGACCCTGCGGGAGGCCCAGAAGAAGCTCCTAGCTTCTAGCTTCAGTTAGGCTTAGCTCTGGCCATTGCACCCACTTGGGAAGTGAACCAGCATATGGAAGATCTTTCTGTTTGTCTATCCTTCTCTCGGTAAATCTGAGTTTCCAATAAAACAAATCTTAAAAAAAAAAAAAGATGGGCTGTGGCAGACACAGGGCCCAGGCTCTGAAGTCAAGACAGTTTGGCGTGTGAACTTCAGCTCTAACGCTGACCAGCTCTGTGTTCTGGGACATGCTGCTTAATCTCCCCGTGCCTAGTCCATAGGAATCCTAACTCTACTCTGCAGGAATGCCCCATCAGGAACTGGCCTGCCAGGAGCACAGGCACCCCTGCCTACTGTGGGCCAAGGGAGGAGTGCCCAGGGGAACTGACCTTCAACCTCCACTGGCAGCTGCACCCCTCTCTTCATGACCATGGCAAGCACACTTCCCGAGAGGAGGTACATGGCAATGCTCAGCAGGTTCAGCCACCAAATCACCTGCAGGCAGAGGGGGGGCTGGAGGACAGTGGAAGGCAGCAGCTCCCCAAGGCTCCCCACAGGCAAGTGTTCACAGGCATGGGCTGGGCTGCTCTTCACTCACCGGGTTGCCTAGCAGATAGACACGGAAGTCTGTGTCATTGGCTCCTGAGAAACGCAGACCCTGGGGAGCAGAAGACATTTGCTGACCTAGAGCCCAGCATCTTCCTAGCCCCCCGCTCTGAGTGAGGAAGACCAGCCACCTTTCAAAGGTGGCTCAGAGCATGCAACTTCGGTCCGAGCTCTATGGGCTCAGCATCAGGGCAGAGAGTAGAGCCCGTCTCTGTTCACCCATCCCAGATGGCCCCAGGGTCCTCAGCACACCTACCATGCCAGCTCCCAGCAGTCCCATTTCCAGAGAGGAGCTCTGCCCTACCTGGTAGTTGATAGGCCAGTGCCAGGGCTTAGACGTGAGCTCATTGTCCTTGGGCTTGAGGCCATTGTTCCCCTGCAGGAAGATGGTGGGGAAGCCAGTGAGGACAGAGAGCTACAGGGCAGAAAGAACCATGAAGCACAGGCATCACTGAGTGCCTTCCCAGGGACAGGAGGTGCCAGCCCCGCAGGCAGCCAGGTGCTCACTCTCGCAGAGACTCACCACGGCCTCAGCTCCCCTATACAAGCAGGCTTCCCCTCCCACCAGACATCTCTGCTGCAGGGAAGGGGGAACGAGGGATTTGTTTCTTTGGGCCCAAACCCCCACCTGGCAAGGCAAGGACAATAAACTTCCACCCAGAACCTCACCCATTTGACTTCTGTGGGTCTGGAATTGTTTTGCAGCCTCCATATAGAGGCTGTGCCTGGAAAGTTCTGCCATGGGGGTAGCGGGGCCACAGGGGCTGGCTGAATGGCACCTGCATCACCCTGGCCACCTGAAGACCTCAAAAGGAGGACTCTGGACCCCTGGAGAAGCAGTGAGGGAAATCCATTCCTTCAGACCAGCAAGCTCCCCTACACCCTCACATCCTGCTTCTTTACCACTCAGGTAATGAAAGAAGAAATGATGGCCTGAGAAATGGGTTGATTGGTTAATCCTCCCCTTGCCAGCACTGGTATCCACTTCCCTTTCAGCTTCCTGCCTGTGGTCTGAGAAAGCAGCAGAGGATGGCCCAAAGCCTTGGGACCCTGCACCTGCATGGGAGACCTCAAGGAAGCTCCTGGCTTCAGACTGGCTCAGCTCTGGCTGATGTGGCCATTTGGGGGCAGTGAACCAATGGATGAAAGATCTTTCTGCCTTTCCTCCTTTCTGTAAATCTGCCTTTCCAATAAAAATAAATCTTAAAAAGTCAGAAAGAAAAAAATGAAACTCCTTGGACTGAGTCTTAAAATTCTACGCACACTCAGAATGATACTCTGCCTGACAGGCACATATTCAAAAGAGCTCTGTCCTCAGACGCCAGTGACAGCTACAAGCAGACTGTCAAAGAAGAAGTGACCCAGAGACTGCCTGGTGTCAACCCATCACCTCCCTGGTGGGCAAAAAAAAAAACGACAACATCTGAATTTAAAAACTTTAGTCTGGTGAAATAAGTCAACTGTATTTAGCGAGGACTGCTTCGATAATCACCGCCAAGAAAGCCCACCTGATTGACCATGGGCTCACCAAGGGAGGGACAGCAGCGCCCCCTAGGGATCTTGAGACAGCTCTTCTAAAACCCGTCCAACAGGTTTCCCACAAGCCCAAGGAAGGGGGGTATCCTCAATTCACAAGGGGATATTCAGGCTAGTGATACAATTGTCTCAACCTGAAAGGTCTCTCAAATTTCCTTAAGACTTGGATGTCAAACTCCATCTACTAAAGAGAGTGAAAACAATGAGTATTATAACACTTGAAAAAACAGCCTTGCTCCTAAGGCAGTTTCTGTCCAGGAACATAACTGGGTTGGCTCCTGGCTGGATTTTTAAGCTACATCCCACCACATACTCAGATTGGCTATTCATTCTATCTGACTCTAATTTCCAAAGACAGAATGAATTTTCAGTGTCTTAGAATCTTCAACCAGGAGTTGAGATTTTCATGCGCTTTGTCACTGGCACAGACCTGCAAACCACCTGAAGGCAGAAGAGGATAGCTGAAAATGGCATTGACTTTGGACACTTCCAAGCCCCCCTTCGAAGCCTGGATCAACTTCTAAAACTTAGCTATGTGACCCTGGACAAGATGCTCAACCTCTCTGTGCTTCATTCTCCTCTGAGAGCTGGGGGTGACAGCAGTCTCCACAGGACTGTAGTAAACTTTAAGGGAGTTAGTATGCATATACACAGTATTTGTATACACAGCATCTTGACCATTCATGGCGCTGGGACAGGGAAGTGTCTCTGAAGGTAAACCAGCAAGTGAAGACACTTTTAAAGTCCTCCACAAGGAGGCAGTGCATCTTCATCAGATTTGCACTTGCAGAGAAGGTGCAAATTCTTAGAGAAGTCATGGAATGAGAAGGGGCCACAGTACCCGGATCATGACCATGTGGGACTCCAGCAAAATCTCAGGAAAACTGGGCTGCAGCACCTCCAGGCTTATATTTGGCACTAGAAAAAAAAAATAATAATAATGACAAGAGAAAACCTTTGTCACACATTTTCCCATGAAATGTGTCTGTCCTTGGTATTCCCAGTCCCACCAGAGCCCAAGTGCAGACCTCATGAGGCACTGACAACAGCAGGTTGTTGTTAAGGCTTGTTTATTCAAGTGTGCATTAATCAATCAACAGGTGCTCAGAGAACACAAAGGCAAGAGACAGCAGGGCCCCTCCTCCTGGAATTCCAGCTGCCCTTGACCTCTGGGCTCAAATGCTGCCCTCCTGTCTGAGGAAGGAACCAAGTTCATCTGGTCACCAGTGTCTCCAATGGGCTCCACACAGCTCCCCATGGTTCCTGGCACACTCAGGAAACAGTTGCCTCATCTGTTACATAGTAGTTGGGGCTAGGTTAGGCAGGAAGAGATGGGAAATAGAAGAAAAGTGTAAGCAGGCATGAACCTGAAGGGGCAGTTTAGCAAGATAGACGACAACACATCCAAACATGGACTGTGGTGATGCCGAGTGGAAATGCCAAATGGAGCCTGAGAGTAACAATGCGGCGCCAGATCAGGGCTGCGGCCGAGGCTTTCTGTGAAGGTGTCGGCTGGACACAGGGAGAGGACTCCACAGCGGGCATGAAGACCAGGTACCAGCCTGTGCTGAGCCTTAAGTGCAGCAGATGCCCACAGGGCAGTGGACAGACCTGCACTTTAGGGGGTGGAGTTTAAGGACAGAGTGATGAGGAGAGAAATAGGCAGCCGTGTAGGTAAACAGATCAGGCATGAAAACAGAAGAACACGCAGCAATGAGCCCAGGTGACGGCAGCGTCCATGAAGGTTTAGCTAGGCAAGAGTTCTTTACGCTACTTTCCTTCAGAGCCAGCCCGGGAAGTGACCTCACTCACATTTGGGATTGATATGGTCCTCCACATTCCAGATGGAGCTGAGGGTTTCTTTTAGGTATGGGGTGCAAGTAACTTCCAACTGCTCCCAGCCCCTGTGGAAAGTTGGCACAGATGTCTCTCAGAGGACCTGACGCTGTCTCCTGCTCTCCAGGCCATGAGATCCCCTCTGCTCAGCCTGGTAGCTACTACTTTCTCAACTCAACTACCCTGGACATGGTCTACCACAGTTCCCTTCTAGAAACACAGACCTGGAGAGCTGTCATGGCAAGTCATATCCACAAACGTTGAACTGCCAGAACGCACAAGAGACCAAAGCTACCCTGCAGTCTGCTCCATGACATGCCTCTTCCTTCTCCTCCCCTCTTCCACCACTAAAGAAAGCAAATATGAGGTGACCACTGACCACCAGGAGACGGGAGCTTCTGGCACATTCCTTGGTGTGTGAAAGGAAAAGCATAATTCTCTACTGGATCATCAAAAGCCCAGAGACTTACCACTTGGGCAGGACCTTTCCCGTTGAACCCAGAGCACAGCCTGTGACCAGATGGATGAGGCGAATATGACTTCTCAGCACCTTGATTCGGTTTCCAAGTTTTCTATTTACAACCTCTATCCTCCAAAAGTCATTTGAATCTCCTGTCCCATTCTGCCACATAAACCAAGGAAGAAAAAAAAATATACACATATACACAAAGTGAAATGACTTTAGAAAAAAAAAAAAAAGGCGTTGGACAAAAACAACGGCCAGCTTTCAGATGACACCATGTTTCAAAAGTCAAAGACCACATGCGCCTCAAGGACTGAAGAGACAGGGAACAAGAAGGCCACAGAAACATCCTACACGACCCACACTGTCCCGCACTCGCTGCTACGACCCAGAACAGGAGCATAACTCCTGAAACCGGAGTCCAATATTTCAGTTAACAGGACTATAACTTAAGTTCTAAGTAGATGGGACTGCCCTTAAATCAAACCTCAGGCATCCCCCGGAGCCAACAGCAGCAGATCTGGGCCAGCTGCATCTGCTACTCCAGCCATCTGGGAAGTCACTCATCTAAGCCAGAAAGGTGCGGATATTGCACCTGGGAGATGAAGGCAGTTGTGCCTAGTTCTCCTCAGGAAAGGTCCACAGGGGGAAAAAGAGAGCATTCGGAGTCCTGGTCCTAGTGGGATGAGCAACCAGAAACAGGTTTAGGGAATCCACCTCAAGGAGCCCAGGTTCTTGAGTGAAGCACCAAAGGTGGAAGGAAATGTAACTGATAGTTTTCAACAAGCTGCTCTGTCCTCACTTACTCTCCAAGCCACACTAGTAAGTACTCGCGAGCTTTTACTCCTTTAGTGGCATGCTGAGATAGCAAAATAGAGAAGCTATGTGGATTACACTCTCCTGCAAAACATGAAAGCCAATGAGGGCCCAGCACAGTAGCCTAGTGGCTAAAGCCCTCACCTTGCACACACCGGGATTTCATACAGACACCAGTTCCCAGCAGCCCTGCTTCCCATCCAGCTCCCTGCTTGTGACCTGGGAAAGCAGTCAAGAACAGCCCAAAGCTGTGGGACCCTGCACCCACGTGGGAGACCTGGAAGAGGCTCCTGGCTCCTGACTTTGGATTGGTGCAGCTCCGGCCATTGCGGCCACTTAGGGAGTGAATCAATGGATGGAAGATCTTCCTCTCTGTCTCTCCTCCTCTCTGTAAATCTACCTTTCCAATAAAAATAAATCTTTTTTTTTTTTTAAGCCAATGAGGATTTGGGACCTGGCAAAAAATGAACTTCCATAGTTATTCAGGGTCTACTGTGAATTGTTGGTTTCTCTCCCATGTGAGTTAAAGGGAAATATAAACAATATTCACATTTGACATTTATTAAGTAGCAGCACATGTAAATGACAAGGCTATTATGCAAGAAGGGAAATGAAGACAGATTTCACAATGTCCTTTTCCCACAGAGAGCTTAGCCAAAAATTCCCAAATACAAAAAGCTCCCCCATGGGGCATCCAATCCTCTGGAACATCCCAGCATTTGGGGAGAATGTGTTGGGCCACACAGCCCTGAGCCAAACCCCCAACTTCTTCCCATCCTGCTCCAACTGCTCACTTACTATGCCATAGCCAGTGACCTGATAGTGCTTCCGGGTTAGGGGGGCCTCATGATAGTGACTGTGCAAGTTCCGAGAGGTCCTAAGAAAGAGAAGAGAGAAGAGCTGTTACCCTTAAGGAAAGAGATGTGCAACGTTTCTTTGTACCCCGGATGTTGAGTTCCGTTAGGAGAAGCCTGAGAATCTAAACAACTCAACAAAGCAGAACTGCCTGCCTATCCTCTCACGAGAAATGTCCGAGAATTGGAAGAGAAGAGTGCAAGGCAGGAGGGTCAGATGGCAGAGGAGCACTGCAATGCCAACTACAGAGGTGCTAGTGTGGTGAGGGGATAGCTTTACCAGTTTTATTTCTTCCTCTGCTTTCCTAAGCCATAGGCGAGGAGCTATATGGGATGTGGAGCCACTGGGAGTAGAGCTGACATCCATATGGGATGCTGGCATGATGGGCAGAAGCTTAGCCTAGTACACTGTGGTGCCGGCCCCAATCAGTTTTACATTACTCTAACCCTTCCAGGGATTTAAATCTGGGAGAAGGATTACTTAATGAATTTACTATTTTGGGTAAGCACAGAGCTTTGACTTTAACATTCCCTAAGAGGTGGTAAAAATTAAAGATTAGGGCCCAGTATGCTGGAATCCCATGTGAATGTTGGTTCGTGCTCCAGCTGCTCCACTTGCCATCCAGCTCCCTGCCTGTGCTGGGAAAGCCCAAGGCCTTGGGACCCTATACCCACATGGGAGACACAGAGGAGGCTCCTGGCTTCAAATGGGCTCAGTTCTGGTCATTGTGGCCATTTGGGGAATGAACCAGTAGATGGAGGATCTTTCTGTCTCTCCTCTCTGTGGATCTGACTTTTCAATAAAAATAATTTTTTTTTAAATTAAAGCCCAAGGTCAAGACTGTGTGGTCAAGGCAAACGTGGCTTCTCTCTGTCTCACTTCTCGAGTCCCCCTTTCACTTAAAGTTGTCCTTGTAACTCTAGTACCTTTGTAGCTTTCATTTTTCTAGCTTTTTTATGCTTTCATTTTTTATGTAATCTTATCATTCTCTGGGAAAACACTGGTTAAATAAACCAGTTTACTATACAAACTGACTCTAACAATTTCTAAAGGCAGCCATTTAACAAGCTTTGGGTGGTGTGGGTGTCATGGTGCCTGGGTTAAGTCATCACTTGGATGCCTGCATCTCATAGCAGAGTGCTGGTCCAAGTCCTCACTGCTCAGCTTTCTATCTGGGTGACGCGCCTAAGAAGTAGCAGATGATGGCTCAAGCTCTTGGGCCGCTGTCATCCACAGGGGAGACCTGGCTAGAGTTCCTGGCTGCTGGCTTTGGACTGGCCAGGCAGTGGCTGCTGTGGTCATCTGGGAAATGAACCAGCAGATGGAAGAGACCTATTTTTGTTTCTCTCCTCCCCCTCCCTCTGCCACTCTTTTTACTTATTCATTCATTCATACTATTTTATTTTTTTTCTAAAAGAAAAAGAAATCAAAAAGTATTTCAAAGTTCAGAGCCCCAAAGCTGAAGTAACTAGGCAAAGGCTGACCTGCTTATTATACCTTATTCATAACACAACTCCTTCATTCTATGTAGTAAACTTATTCAATTTACTACAGACTCATCCAAACAGATCTGGTATTGTGATATAACGGGTTAAGCGGTCATGCACAAAGCCAATATGGGCAGTTCTTCAAGTCCCAGCTGCTCCAGTTCTAATCCAGCTCCATGCTGGCATGCCTGGGAGGACAGCGGAGACAACGGTCTACGTCCTTGGGCCCCTGCACTCCTATGGGAGACCCAGATGAAGCTTTTGGTTCCAGCCTGGCCCAGCCCCAGTTATTGTAGTCATTTGTGGAGGGAAGATCTTTCTCTCCCTCTCTTCTTTTCTCTGCAACTCTGCCTTTCTCATAAATAAAATAAATCTTATAAATAATAAAATAAATATTATTCTTGGTGTCCACATCATTCATTACCCAGAAAGGAAATGAACTTACTGTTTGTGCTCTAGTCGAATGATGTCTCCATGTCTCACAAACTCCACTGGCAGCGAAGGGTCTAGAGGATCTGCCAGAAAGAAGCGAGCACTGGTGTCTGCAATCACTCGCTCTCAAGGCCAAGATCAAGGGAAGGCCTAATGCACCAGTGCCACCTGGCTATACGCTACTGGTACTAAACAGGGTTGGTGCTGTGTGACCAAGAGAAAGGGTTGACAGTTGCTTCAGAGGACACAAGGAGGGTTACCCAGAGACAACGCTTGAAAAACAAGAGCATTTTGTCAAGTGAACAAAGTAGAGGAAAGGCAGTGAGACAAAAAGAACAAAACCTGTTCAATTAACGGGAATGGATTTCACGCAGTCATACTTGGCTATGGCAGGAAAGGAAGTGAGGACACAAGATGTGGGCGGACAGTGGATTGGGACTGAGCTTGCCAGGCTGGCAAATGTGGCCTTTGTTAGACAGGCACTGAGGTGCCCAGTGAAGCTTTGGTTAGAAAGTTAATCAGCAAGATTTCCCTGTTAATAGCAATAGTATAGCCTTCCAAAAATTCGTTTCATGAAATTGACTCTGTCCAGCTCTCCTCAAAATCAACTGTTAAATCCTGCCAACTTTTCCAATGATTATCTTGTCTCTGATGACAGACTGACAAGAAAGCAATGGAAACAAAGGGCTACTGCATCCTCTGGAAGGCCAGGGTATGAAAGGGAGCTGGCAGTGACCAAGCAATGCAGAACAGATTCTTTCAAACACCTGTCCCGACACTGACGCATCAATACTGCACCAACAGATCAAAGCCAAGGACACGGCTCTCAGAAGAATTCGAGACCTCAACTGCACAGATACCCATCCCCACACGGCCTCTGAAAGTCACCTAAAAGGAGTAATAAGGTGGCAAATAAAGTCGATTAGGAGAGCTGTTTCCTTTTATACAGATTTGGTGGGTAGGAGCCATCAAGAACACAGCTGCCTTCACCTATAAAGTTAAACAAAATCCTTCATCACTTGCATGAAATGTATCTTAAACTTAGAAAGGAATTATGGGCAAGGGAAGTTGAAAGATTTGGGTCATATCCCCTTAGAAGTAAAACCGGAACAGGATGTGAAGACAACGACGTCTATGCCTCGTTCACAGCCCGAAGATGGCAGTAAGAGGAGGTGGGTTTAGAGCAGCTGGGCTCCTCCACACAGGCTCAGGCCAGAGCAGCAGAGTCCACGCAGTCGCCATATGAAAGGCTACGGCTCAGGAGGTGTTCCCCTCTCAGCTGCAACACAAGACACAGCCCACAGATGGCGTGCTCTCTGTCCAACGGGAGGACCTGGTCCAAACACAGGAGAGGCCGACAGTGTGCGCACAGCTGCTCTGCCCAGGCCAGCAGCTGACTGACACAGAGTCACGTTCCAAACAACAGTGTTGACAAGTTGAGTCACAGGCCCGAGCAAGGGGTAGCCCTTTCCCTTCTCAAGGCTGTCTGCTGACATCTGCCACCAGCTGGGGAGGTCACGTTGCCTTGGGAGGACTCAAAAGGAGCACTGCTGAGACTAAAGACCTAAAAGCGAGATGATGTCTGTTTTTTTTCAATGCTTATTCCCTATACTTGGAACAGAGTAGATACACAAGAATAATTCTTGAAAGCATAGGCAAGATCAGGAGAGGTGCTCTGAAAGTTCAGACTCCCCCTGAGGCAGGAGAAAAGTCGGAGAGCCGCATGTAAGCAGGAACACGAGGCGTCAGCTGCTGAGCACATTACCTGAGTCCATATTATGTTTCTTGATAATCCACAGGTTGTTGTAGTCCTTGTGCAAATAGGTGGTGACCTGGGTATGGGGTGGGGTGAGAGAGCAGGGGGTGGGGGGAAGAACATGGTCACTCGTGGCACAGCTGCCCAAGGACAATCCACAGCCACCAACACCACTTCCGCCTCTTCCAGGAGCCCAGCATCCCCGAGGGGCCACACTGCTGCAGCAGGTTGCTGAGCGAGGCCCTCTCTCTTTCCCTCTGCATTTAGATGCCTTGTCCCACACGAGCCTTTGTGATTGATCCTTCTGTCCCTCATCCCTGAAGTTCCAGCCTTCCACATGGGGACCACATCCCATGATTCACAGTCTCTAGCATCTGGAAGAGGATTCAGGGTCACACTAAAATGTAATTAAGACTGCCTCAAACTTTCTGAATGAAAAAGGCATGCCACTGTATTCTCATAAATATAGCCAAATGAAACTACAAATTCTACAAGTGTCTCACCCTAGAGTTTAACTCATAGCATTTTGTATATACAATTTCAAAATGTTATGTGTATGTGTGTGTGCTCATATACACGGGCCTGATATGCTTCAGTTAATTTAACAGCAAAAAAAAAAAATCTAGAATGGTGTGTATGTCTCTTACAAGAGGAGCAGTATCGTGACAGTAAGCCCACGGGACAGAATCTCACTCAGCCACAGAAAGCGTCATGGAGCGTTTTTTTTTTTTTAAGATTTTATTTATTTTTATTACAAAGTCAGATATACATAGAGGAGGAGAGACAGAGAGGAAAATCTTCCGTCTGATGATTTACTCCCCAAGTGAGCTGCAACGGCCAGTGCTGCGCCGATCTGAAGCCGGGAACCTGGAACCTCTTCCAGGTCTCCCACACGGGTACAGTGTCCCAAAGCCTTGGGCCATCCTCGACTGCTTTCCCAGGCCACAAGCAGGGAGCTGGATGGGAAGTGGAGCTGCTGGGATTAGAACCGGTGCCCATATGGGATCCTGGCACATTCAAGGCGAGGACTTTAGCCGCTAGGCCACGCCGCCGGAAGGAGCGTTTTCTGGCAACATGGGAAAAGGCTTATGAAGTGCAGACACTGGCAATGCCACTGTCACACCAGGCACCGCTCTCAGCCCCTATCAATCACAATCATTTCAAGCTACAGGGGCTACGGTAACTCCCACACTGCACACTGGGTGACGGAAGTGACGTCTTTTGCTCACACGAGCTTGAGTTGTGGAGACAGGATTCAAATCAGAGCAGCTAATTCCAATGTGTCCAGAACAGAGATCACACAGGAGGGCACTTCAAAAAGCTCATGAAAAGTAAGAGTTAAAAGAAAAGTATGTGTTTTCCATAAGCTTTCCCAAGATCCCTTATACATATATAATTGTGCAATTACACAAACCAGGATAGAAACACTTGCAAACAACGAAAAGGTAAGCATTTATCTTACTATGTGAGCTTTTTTTTAAATCACAATTTGATCAAAGATGACCAATTTACTTGCAAAAGAATTTGGAACCAGCATGAGTGGCTAAAGGTATTCTGTGCATATAAGTATCAAGACTGCTTCCCATGAACTGCTTTTGCTGTTTCCCAGAAGAGAGAGAGAGAATGGAATCAAAAACATACAAGAAGCTAGAAAGTTTGTGGTCATAGAGAAGTTGAGATAAGGTCTACACACCTGAAAAGGGTCAGAGTTCCTGCCGGGGTGTGCTCAAGGGCTGCACGGCCGGGAGCCACATGGTCGGGAGCCACAGGCCTGTGCATGGCCGAGGAAGTAACTGTTCATGTTTACAAAGACATTATTGCTAAAATGCCCATAAGAAAAATTACTTCTTTCTTGCAAGGATAGTCTGTGGCCCCTTTTTCCCAGAATCATTTGCTTTTACAATGGAGCTTTTTTATAACATGAGGTTTTCCAGGGACACGGGTATCCAAATCTAGGAGAGGTATATGTTAAAATACAAATGCTCTTCTTCTGGGGTTACATGCAGATTTTGTTTCCCTTTATGTATTTCTCCATTCTTCCCAACTGCATTCTATAAATGTTATGCCTTGACAACATTTTACAACCCAGACATTAAGCTGTGGGGCAGGGAGGACCACCAGAGGTTACTTGGAACTATCCTCTTTTTACTGATGAGCAAGCAGGGAGAGGAAGACTAAAAGTGACTCAGAAAAGACACAGCAGGGCACTTCTGTCTGGCCCAGTACACATCACGGCCATGTCTACACCAGCAGAGCAGGCTCACACTTCCACATCCTGGGCGCCCAGTGTATAATCCCTGCTTAATGCCAGAACCTTAAGAGTGCAACCATTTTCAGGACTTGCGCTTCCTGACACACAGCAGGTGCTAGGCCCTGACACACACCTGTGACGTCTTTCCTAAAGCAACTCCCCCTCCCTCCACAGGCTCTTGGCCTCTGTTTACCATCCTCTGTTATGTGATGACCTCCTAAGCTGGCCCTGGCAACCTGTGGCATTCCCACCAGAGGTGTCTTTCTGAGGTAGAGCTCTAATCACATCCTTGCCCTTGTCTGTGGAACAAAGTCAAGTGTACTGTAATGGGGAAGGCCCTGCCAACCTCATCAATACCCTCCCTGCTTCTCCCTCTCGGGCACCAGCTCCTAAAGCCCCACCTGCCACTCGTTACCATGGATACAGTGCCCACCACTTAGTGTTCACTCGCTCACATGACACTTGCAGCTAAGTCTCATAGATACAAGTATCATATCACTTTACACATATCTTCTCGTTGAATATTCACAACAACCCTCAAATGGAGAGAAGTACTATTTATAAAAGATGAAGATACTCAAGCACAGAAAGGTTAAGAAACTTGTCCAGGTGGCCCAGTACAGTAGCCTAGTGGCTAAAGTCCTCGTCTTGCATGTGCCAGGATCCCATAAGAGTGCCAGTTCTAATCCCAGCAGCCCTGCTCTCCACCCAGCTCCCTGCTTGTGGCCTGGGAAAGCAGTTGAGGGCAGCCCAAAGCCTGGAGGAGGCTCCGGGCTCTTGGCTTCAGATCATCTTAGCTCCAGTCATTGCGGCCACTTGGGGAGTGAATCAATGGACGGAAGATCTTCCTCTTTGTCTCTTCTCCTCTCTGTATATCTGACTTTCCAATAAAAATAAATAAATATTTAAAGAGAAAAAAAGAAACTTGTCCAGTTATACATCCTACTACTCTTGGTTCCCAGATCTGTGTTCACAACTACTGCACTGCACGCATCACTCACTCCGTGCTAGGTACTTCAATGGGCACACCGCCTTCCCAGAGTATCAATCAAGCAGCTAAGAGATGAGTCTACAGTTCATTATGAAAGGGGTTATGCCAGGCCTACGAGGGATGCAGAGGAGCCCCTCATAAAAGGAGCACCCAACCCAATGCCAGGGAGGGGTGGCCCTGATGCTCACAGAACACCTAGGAAGAAGCGTAAAGAAGCCAAGGTTAGCCAGGGGAAAGAGCAGAAGTGTGCAGGAGTGGAAGGAATGTTTCAAGCAGGCAAAATAGCGTGAGCCAAGGGCAGGAGGCAGGAGCGAAGGCGGTTTCAGTCAGCAGTTCTCAGTTGCACATGTGCCCTTGTGATGCTACACATGGAGAAAAAGGCTCACCAACCTGCTGCTGCCGGGCGCCGACGCCCTCGGGGTACAGGTGCGGGTGTGAGTGCAGATAGCCGATGGCCATCCTCAGGTTCTTTATGGTGATCACAGAGCCGTAGGCCAGGTCTGGGGGAGAAGGGAGAGGCGGCAGGGGGTGAGCAGCCCAGAGCTAGGAGCTGTCCCTCTGAAGAGTCCCCTAGCCAGGCACCGCCTGGGGCAGGAGGCTCGGCCATCTTCACTCCAACAGAGTCACCTCGAGACAGGACCACCATAAGGGCTCATTTGCACCCTGCCCTCCTATCTCCTGAGGACTTCAGAAGATACTGCTTTTTAATGCCAGCATTATCTAAGCACTGTGCGACACAGTCAGGTGCCACTTAACTACAAGGAAGGCAGGTTTCAAGAAATGGGGCATTAGCCAATTTTGTCACTGTGCAAATATCCTAAAATGCATGTAAATGGAGGTCCCTATGTAGGTCATCTCCCTGCAGCACAAACTTCATGGCTTCCTGCCTGCTTAAAGACCTCCACCATATCTCCACTGCCTTCTGAACGAACACCTCAACCAGATCTCATCACCTTTCCAAATGTAAATCTTCCAGAACTTTCCTACAGACAACCTGTTCCTTGACTTCTGCCCATCCCTTGGCTCTGACCATATCATCCCTTCTGCCTCATATGCCCTCCATGTGGAACTTCACTCATCCCTCTTGGGCAACTTCACAGCTGCCCCACCACGCAACTCTGATTCCCTCAGCTGCCCTGCCACATTCACGTCCCCTGAGCTCGGCACGCCCCTCTGTGTGTACACAGTGCACACATCACACTGTGGGCAGGCACCCTCCCCCAGACTCTACTCAGGCGAACACTGGCTCAGTTACTATCTATGAGTAAATGAATGAATGTGCATCTCGAAACACAGAGGTGGAAGCTGGCAACTGGCCGGAACCTGACCGGCCTTCCCACCAGAACGGACTTTGACAGCCAGAAAGAAGATATTCTTTAGGCTGAAAGAGCTTATTACACAAGATGAGTTCCTCTGCAAAGAAAGAATTCACTCTCTGAGTCTTCCCGCCAGAGCTAACTCGGACATCCCCCTACTGCGCCATCTATTGGCTAAAACAACAAGGTAACATGTTCTTTTCCAGCTCAGCTCCCAAGCAACCCCTCCGTCCTCTCTCTCTGGGAAGATCCAGAGACACTCACGCTCAGGGATGGAAGCATTGTGCAGGTTATTTCCTTCTAGCCGAGCCTGGAAGGCAGAACTGAAGAAACCATCACCAGGACCACTGTGGGGGAAGGCGGGCAGAAAAGACTCAAGTTAATGAAATAAAAGCTGTGACTTCCCAGGCGGCCCTTCTCAGTTCATTTAAAAGCATCAGAATTGGAGTGGCAATGTAGCATCATGGGTAATGGAGTCAAAGAAGTTGGGGTCTAAACCTCAACTCAGCTACCTAACAGTAGGTAACTTGGGCAACATACTTAGCACTATGTAGCCTTAACCCCTCATTTATAACTCAGAAATGGCAATGGCTAAATGAGATCAAGTGTACAAAACGATGAACACAACTCCTGACACCCGAGAGCTATCCTGCAATAGGAGCTCTGGCTTTCAGGGTGACGGCTGCTACCCTCACTCCCATAGCACAGCTATTGGGCAGCCCATCCCTGCTAAGCACAAGAATTCAGTTTAGGGAAAGGGGGCAGTTTGGCTATCAGGAAATTATGCTCTTCCTTTGGTCAGGCTGCTGGCCTTTCTGAGCTCTTGGAATACCCAAGGATAGACCACAGAAGGGAAGAAACAAGAAAAAGCCCCCATCCACTCCTATCATCCCAACCCTAGACCCAAGGAATCCATGGCCACGCGTGGACTTGGGTGCTACAGAGACCAGAAGGGAGGCACTGGCAAAGTTCTGACTATACCTTTTGTTCAGCACTGTGATGTGCACAGCAAAAATGGCCATGTAGAGAGCCAGGGGCAGCACTATGAGGCACAGGGCGCGGGCAAGCAGGTGTTTCCCCAGAGTCACCTGCAAACAGAAGCCAACGTGGAACACTGGGCATATAGGCTCTTATACTTACATGTCTTATACAGCATATAAGCTTAAGTAGAAGTCATAATCATTTATTTAAAAAATCGGCCAACAAGGAAGACAACACCACCACCACCCTAGCATTGCAGGGAGATCAACAAGGGCCAGCTCTCTGCTGCCTCCCAGACTCTGCCCTTGGACCCTGGTGTTGCCTACACCTACACAGTTCACTGGTCCCCTCCACATCCCAGCCCCACAGAGGCCTCTGCACTTTCCCAGGGCTTCCTGCCCCACGCCAGCCCGCATGGCTAATTGCTTCTTATTTTGCTTCTGGCCTCAGCTTCCTCCAAGAGGCCTCCCTGGATCATCTGAGTTCGAGCTAGTGCCCACCTGTCAGCTCTCACACTGCCTGTGTGCTTCTCTGATCCCAGTGACTACAGAGGACAGCGATCATGTTTGATTCATCCTCATAGTCCCAGCAGCTCACACTTAGTAGGCAGTTTCTATACTTTTTTTTGTATGAATAAGCAAATACATGTGCTGGGTGTTTGGTTCAGAAGCGATGGGAAAGCCCCCTAACCAAGCAGCTGAAGTTGGCTGCCCCTCAGACTCCCTGGGTAAGGCAGCATCTCACAGGGCCTCAGGCCCCTCATCTACAGTCTCAAGGCCTTACCCAATCACAGGACTGTTACCGGGGATAAATGAAGGGGCAGCAGTTTACATAGTGACAGGCACAGAACCAGTCCTTAATAAGCAATACCACAGTAACCCCGACATGCCTTTAACTGCTCCCCAGATTGGAGGATCTTGGTCAGAAAAAGACAAGTGTGAGCTGAGGCCATCCTACCCATTTTACCTAAGGTCCCCCAGGCAGGCATGCCTACCACAGATTTAGCCTGAGGCCAGCGGGCTGAAATCCCTAGCCAGGCAGTCGGCAAAAAAGCTTAGAAGGCATGACAGAAACATATGCCAGAAGAGTACTATGAGGACGCAAGTCCATCCCCTCCCTAGGGCCCAAAACACGCTGCTGTGCCAGCTGACAGCGGCAGGAAAGGCCACTGGTTCCTGCCGGGCAACACTAGGAGCAAAGACATTTGTACAAGCACTTGGGTTCTCACCAATGAAATACTGAGGTCTCCAAACAGGTGCCAAAGGTCTGCAATGGTGTTCAGCCCCACTTGAAGGATGATAAAGAGGCCAACAAACTTGACCCCTAACGCACCAGCAAGACTGATGCCTGTCAGGCTGAGCCAAAACCACCAGGGGGCAGAGAAGGGCCTGAAAAGCAACAAGACACAGAGTTCAGTTTGGAGCTGGACTCAACTTCACAGCAAGAGCAGTAGACGCACCGGGGAGAGGTCCCGGACTCAGAGAGGCTGTCTTGTGTCCTCTCCCATGGGGCTCCTAGCCTCGGGGGACCATGGCATGGCTCCAAGGAGGATGTGACCTATGACACAAAGCTCTGAACTTGCAGACACACCACAGTGCAGGAATGACTCAGGTATTTTTCTGGCTAACTGCAGGGTTTAAGGCAAACTGACTCATTATTCTTCACTCACGGCCAATCAAGCTGAAGGATATAGAAAAGCCCCAGAAGCCTGTTGGATTTGCCCCGCCTTCTCCTTTGTATCACCTCTGCACCTGTCAGAGTCAGCACTTCCTGAGGACTTACCATGAGCCAGCCGGCATCAGGCCAATAGTTAGCTGTACACGCTTGAACACTCCACAAGCCCGTGGTTGCTTCTCCTGCCAGTTTAAATGCTCTCAAACAGCCCAGGCCTACATATCTCTGTACTTTTACCTCCTGCCGTGGTACCTGGCACACAGTATGTATCCAAGAAAAGGCATACAGGTACAAGTGGATGCCGTATCTGACAATCCCGTCAGAGCAGGCTGGCAGTTCCCAGGTCAGGCTTGATCAGCATCATGCAGCTGAGTGAGGTTGGCCAAGGGTGAAACCAAGCTGATTTCTAGAAGAACCCAGGAGGCACTAACTCTTGTGGTTTGAAGAGAACAAACAACCTCTTCCACTCTCAGAGGCAGAGGGATGATGTGGAAAGCACCATTGTGGAAGAGACGAGACCCTCGAGGTCAGCCAGAGAACTGACCAAGGCCTGGAAACAGCCTCTTGACTGTGCGGGCCGCTCACCTCTGGGTCAGGACTGCAGCCTCCCACCCAGCACTGGTGCCGAGCTCTGGGTAACTTACAAGACACGGAGAAGGACCTCCCTGTAACATCCACACGCCCCCGCAACACACACCAAACTAGTCCCAACCATCCACAGAAAACTTAAAATCCACATTTATGATCAAAAACAGATATTCCAGGCGAAAAAGCAAAGGAAAAGTATGCTTGCTTAAACGCAGCTTTTTAAGACAGCTTGTAGGTCCTGCCCTGGCCCTCCCCTCCCCTCTGAGAGACGGTGCTCTGACCTGTCAGCGCAGGAGTTGTACTTGACCATGCTCAGCACGGCAGCCATGATGAAGAACATCAGGATAGGGTCCAGGAGGATGTACTGGGACAGAGTAAGACATCCCGTGTCTGAAAAACAAAAGCATGAGCCCACTGGTCCAAGAGCAGTCAAGAGAGGAGTCCCTGAAAACCAAACCCCCAGCACCAGGACAATCTCCACATGTGCCAAACACATGTAAGTACTGTTGCGCAGTCACAACTAGACGGGCCACCAAGTCATGGGGGAGGCCGAAGGCCACAGCACTGGGAGACATCACTGATGGGAAAGAGGATCTCACACTGCCTCTAGGCCCTCCATCTCATTTCCATTATCAAGAAGGGAGCTGTTCCAGCCGGCCTTTGCAGGCATACATATACCTGTGAGACCATCTCACACAGACTCTGGTAGACACTGATCTTCTCTGCTGGAGGAGAGTGACCGCACCCCTCCCGCATCGGACCAGCACATTCTCAACAGCTGCCAACAGCGGCACAGCCTTCTATATTCAACCTCACGCCCAGCCTTCACCCACAGCTGAGCTGCACAGCTGCTGCACGCGCTGCTCCCTCCTCCCTCGGGGGGCTGCCTTCTCAGGGGGCTCCTCACCACCCAGCTCCCTGACATGGTGCTATCCCTTCCCTCTCTTCCTTTTCTGTGCCATATTTACTACTTGAGGTGTTACATCAGAAATGGTCACCTACTTGCCTATTTGACTGCCTCACTGGAGGCAAGCTCTATGAAAGTACAGTGGTTCGTGAGAGTATCCCAGGCCAAGCAAAGGGGTAGGAGCTTGACAAACCATGACTGAATGAAACACGAACTAATGCATAAAAGAATGAGTAACTGAAGACAGAAATTAAAAATACAAGGGAGGGGCTGGCACCATGGCATGGTAGGCTAAGCCTCGGCCCATGGCACTGGTATCCCCTGTGGGTGCCAGTTTGTGTCCTGGCTGTACCGCTCTGATCCAGCTTCCTGCCTGTGGCCTGGGAAAGCAGCAAAGGATGGCTCAAGTTCCTAGACCCCTACACCCATGTGAAAAACTGAGAAGAGGTTCCTGGCTCCCAGGTTCAGATCAGCTCAGCTCTGGCCACGGCAGCCGACTGGGGAATGAACGAGCAGATGGAAGATCTCTCACTCTCTCTTTCACTTTGCCTTTCAAGTAAAAACAAAATAAATTTTAAAAATGCAAGGGAAAACCCTCTAGTTGTCTACAGAGGGATCCCATAGTCTTGCCATATATCCATGAAAACAAAGCCATACGCCTTTCATACAGATGCCTGCGCTATCCACCAAATGTCAATATCTGTGAGGTCATCAACTCACTTGTTGAAGAACAAGGCTAAAATATGACTGATCTTTTTTTTTAAGTTTTCATTATCTATTTATGATGATGTTTACACAGTTGATTAGGGCAGGAAGGGTTGAGAATTAGGGGAAAGTGGGTAAGACCATTATTTCCAAATTTTCTTTCTTTTTTTTCTGTATCTGGGGGAGGGGCAAGATAAGTGGAGAAGCCACACCCAGTCTCCCAACCTCCTCAGTAGCCAGGGATGGGGAACGGCCTCCCGATGTCATCCCTGGATGGATCATTTTTTCAAAAACTAACGTTTATGCATTTACTTTCATCTACTTGAAAGGCAGAGCAACAAGAATAGAGAGAGAGAAGGAGTGAAGCTCAGCAAAAAAGGAGGACAGAAGGCAAGATCTTCCATGACCGATCCACTTCGACACGCTCCCAAGGGTCACAGCTGAGTCAGGAGCCAGGAACTCCATCCGGGTCCCCCGTGAGGATGACAGTGGTCCAAACACCTGAGCTATCGTTATCCGCTGCCTCCCAGGATGCGTTAGCAGGCAGCTAGATCAGAAACGGAGCAGCTGGGACCTGAAACAGCCGCACATGGGATTCAGGAGTTGCAGACAGCTCCTTAACTGGCTGCGCCACATCGGCCTCTGAACAGGATGGGCTTCTATGACACACTCATTTGTCTGTAAGTGGATTATTCATGAAAACATGGGAGTTCCCATTTGCTTTTCTCTGCCACCCAGACACTCCTAGGCATTTGTCTTTGACATTTGTTTCGAGATGCAAACTAATCAAAACAATAAAAGAAGCAAAGCGAATACTAGAACTTCCTTCACACACGCATTGCACATGAACACAAACAAATCTGTATTATTATCCATTGCAAATTCTAATGTGGGTAACTCAGAAATGATCTAGTCATAGGCACTACCCATGCCTACTGCTCCTTCCAATAACATAAAAGTTTGGTAAATAAAAACATTTATATATGTTACTACTGAATGATTTTGTTAATACATTTTACCCTGTCCTGAAACTAATGAAGAACTGGTCCAGAGGCAGGATTCTTGGATAGACGGATTTTTAACTACAGCCACATGTGCAACCTACAGAACAACTTACCAAAGGTGAGGAGGGCAGCGGTGAGCAGCGCTGCCGGTAGCGACTGGGTCAGGTCCAGCACAGTGAGGTAGGCGAAAGGAATCAGCCAAGAACCGAGGAAGGCACAGAACTGCGGGAGGCACAGGAGCCTATCAACAGCCTGAGCCAGGCACCAGGGCCCCAACTCGCCTGGTGCAAGCCAAGTCTAAGACAAAGGGCTCTCCCAGGGCAGGGCATCTGGTGGGGTCTGGGTCACCTGGCCTGGGTCCTTGGGCCTGCCTGTTTGGTAGATGTCAAGTCCATGAGCCCTAGGGGTCAGGGACACAGGTAGGGCCCAGGTCACCTGCCCGGGTCCTTGGACACGCCTGAGAGAACTGGGCTTCCTCAATGGAAAAGATGGAGCAGTGGACAGCAGGCCACATGGAAGACATGGCAGCCCATTGGGACCGACAGAGGACATCTGGTACTATAGCAGAGGAAGGAGAACAGAACAAATTGGACAACTACCCCCAGTCAAATGAGGACAGCAAAAATCTGGTGAATGGAGACTTGAGGTCAACTGTGTCAGCCAATGGACATTGGAATGGTTTCCTCATCCCTGGATCAGCGATATCAACAACTATCAAAACCACCTGGGCAGAACCCTCAGAGTATGTGCCCCATCGGGACTATGGGTGGGTTGATATCAGGAGGCCATTCCCCATCCCTGGGTACTGGGACAGTTGGGAGGCTGGGTAAGGCTTCTCCCCTTGTCTCCCACTTCCCCTAGAAACAGGAAGAAGAAATAGAAAATTGGGAAACAATTACACCCACTTTTCCCTAACCCTCAATCCTTCCCTCTCTGATCATCTATGTAAACATCATCTAAAATCAAAATTTTAAAAATTTCAAAAGTATATGTAAACAAATCTTCAATAAAATATAAATTTGTTTTCTTAACAAAAGCAAAAAAAAAAAAAAAAAAGATGGAGGGCTCTGAGGAAGTCACACTTCTGGTGACTAAAAATCACCCAGAATAATTATAAGCAAGAGGGGGTGCTGCAGTGCAGAGTGAAACCAAGTGGTACACAATGGTGTGAGGTGTGAGCACCCTGGCTGAGCAGTAACTAGCTTGTCCACTGATGTAAGGTCAGCAGAGGCCAGCCAGGAAGGCTGCCCTGGCACCGCTGGCTGTGACTTTGAGAAAATCATCTCTGTACCCTCCTCTGTGTTAACGGAAAAACAAAAGCTCCCACCTCACAGGTGCACCCTGAAGTCAGAATGAGCGGAACTTTTATTAACACACAGAAATCATTAGCTTCTATTCCAAAACTGCGAATGCCAGGCAGCAAAGATCTCTCGGAAAATATCCTGGTATTTCAGAGAATTCTGATGCTGTTTCCCCCATTTCTTGTCACACCAGGAACGACTCTTTAATCCACAGCGTGTTATTCTGATTCGGCAAAAAGATTACTCCACAATGCAGGACCTAGAGGGCTTTTCGGCTTTTTGTCTTTTAAAATCACCATCCTCTTCCATTCCGCATTCTACCCTCCACATAGTGAGCAAATACATCCAACGGAATGGGAAATTCCCACATTTGCCTTGCACTTTCTTGTAAACAGGAAGCAATATAATCTAGTGTGAAAAACAAGCGAGGCTCTTATATTCTGGCCTTCACAATTTCCATTGTAAGTCTGTAGTGAGTCAGACTTATATCCAAGCCAGTGTGCCATGCTGTGTTTAAGAGGATGACACTAAGGCAGGTGGGAGTTCCAAAGGGTGCTTAGAACTGAATCCAACACTGCTTACTTAAAATGTCAAGATCTGGTTATTCGAATTGTCCAATATATGCCCAAATTAGCACACAGCCATTTATTTAAAATGTTTTGAGAGCCCCATCTCAAGGAATGCAAAATGCATGTAGCTGCAGAGGCTGGCTTCTTCCGCTATAGGTTCCCAGGGTTAGCAGCTCGTCCTGGTCTTTGTGCTGGGGTTTGGGTCAGAGAACCACTAGAGTGAGCATATGGCATCCCTTCTAACAGGCTGCAACACTCCACCTGTGTGCCTGACACCTTCCCTGGGACAGCAGCAGGAACCTCATGATAGGTTACAGGATGACACAGCCTTCAGGAGCGGTTTTCAGATGTCACAAGAACACAGCAGCTATGGCTGCCCAGGCATCAATGATATGAGAAGCCCACCTGCCCCACCCCAGGCTGCCCTCCCCCTGAGATCTGATGCCATAGTCGGGAGGGCTAACAAGGAATAGAATGTGTTTGCTTCGATCCCTCAAATCTCCGCCTTATTTGTGGCCTCACTTTCCCTTCTACCCTAGCTAGGTTCTCAATATCTGCATCACAGGGCAGGGTCCACTCCCCTTCCTCCCATCCCAAAGTCCTTTCAGCCGCACTTGCCACCACCCTAGGCCTTGGAACTGTCATGTTCGGCCTGACTGTGGTCCTCGGGTTCGGTGTGTCTGGACCAAGCCGGGAAGCTTACTCCTCTCATTCCCATGTAGCTGTGGTGCTCATACTTGTCGCCAGGTTTCTGGAACAGAAAGGTGCCATCATATCCACTCAGGTAGCCAGCGAGACCAATCAGCATCTGAGGAGAGAAGGAAAACATGCACAAGGCTGCGAGCCCTTCGGGGTACAGGTCCTCCACACCCTGAGCCCTGCTGCAGCTGCACCCAGGGACTTCGGTGGAAGCAGCTGCCGAGGCGACAGTTCCTCCTGCGGCAGCTGCAGAGGAAGGCTCCTACATCTAGGAAGCTCATGCTTGAAACAAACCCCTTGTGTGTTACGGCCAAGTTCTCGGGAACAGTCACAGATGAAACCCTGAGGAAGAAGAAGAAGCTTGCAAACTGAGGGCAGGGTCGGTGAGGGGCTCTGTTGTTCAGCCTTCTCTCATCCATTACGAAACAAGAACTCCTGGGGAATGGCAGACAGAGGCTGATCCTGGGAGGACTGGGGCCACCCTGACCCACACGGGACAGCTGCTGCCCAGCACCCTGCTCACCTTTCCCAGGGGCGGGTGCACGTCAAAGAAAAAGGTGCGGTTGATGTAGTAGCTTCCCATTTTTCCAAAATGAGTCTCATCCCAACTAGAGGAGAACAAAGAGAAACAAGGGTTTTCAAATTATCATAAAGCCCAAATCGCCTTCAGAAAGCATGGCTTCAATTACAGTTGCAACAGAAAGCTGCGAGTTTCAAGCAATTAATGAAATTTGGATTAAATAAAAGCCTTTGCCACAGTCAGGGAGCCACGCACACAGCTGATTATGAATCTTCACTCAGATGAGAGAAGTTACGAACACATGCCAACCAGTTACCACCATTTTTTCAAATATTTTATTTTTGTTGGAAAGGCACATTTACAGAGAGAAGGAAACACAGAAAGATTTTCCGTCCGCTGGTTCACTCCCCAAGTGGCCACAGTGGCCAGCGCTACACTGATTTGAAGCCAGGAAATGGGAGCTTCCTCCAGGTCTCCCACGCGGGTGCAGGGTCTTAAGACTTTGGGCCAGCCTCCACTGCTTTCCCAGGCCACACGCAGGGAGCTGGATGGGAAGTGGAGCTGCCGGGACACAAACCAGCACCCATATGGGACCCTGGCATGTGCAAGGTGAGGATTTCAGCCAAATATAAACTTACTCTGTGTCTTGATTATTTATTTTAAAATTTATTTAATTTATTTGAAAGTCAGAGTTACAAAGAGGAAGAGACAGTACATTTTGGGAGCACTGGTCAGCAAGATGCTTCAGTTTTGCTCACTTGTACATAACTGCTGGTACAAGCTGACAGACCTTATTTAATGTTCTAACAGCTATACGACAACCGAAGGTTCTCATACTTCCAAAGTGAAAAAGCCATCTAAAACCTATCCTGAACCAGCATTCCAAATGGGCTGGTTCACTTCCCAGCTGCTTCACTTCTGATCCAACTCCTTGCTAAAGGCCTGGAAAAAGAATGGGCCCACTGCCTGGGCCCCTGCCACCCACATGGGAAACCAGCTGAAGCTCCTGGCTCCTGGCTTCAGCCTGGTCCAGCCCTGGCTGTTGCAGCCATCTGGGAAGTGAACCAGCAGATGGAAGATCTCTCTATCTCTCCCTCTCTATATAACTCTGTTTCAAAGTTTATTAAATAAGCAAAAGTGTTTTTTTTTTAACTATCTTCATCACGCATTTTGCAGGTAAACAAGTGCTTCTGAGACACCAGCTGTCAGACACAATGCAGTCCTTCCTCCTGTCCTCCCTCCCTCCTTCTCTCCCTATCCTCTGTTTTCTTCACTCTTGGGCAGAGGCGTCCGCTTCAGCACCTGCTGAACAGACTGCTGGCCGTGCAGTGAGGACACCGGCACAGGGACATCAACGAGAGAAGGGACCTGCAGGGAGTCTGACAAGACAGGTTTGCAGCAAGAGCAGGCCCCAGTGCTGCCTCCACCACTCACACCTGGATCTCACCTCTCCACTACCCTGGGAAGACCACGGCGTACCTGTCACGCCCCCTCACACAGCCCTGGGAAAGAATTCCGCAGGCTGTAAAGGACCACACCTTCTGGGCACGATTTAGACCGTGCCCACATCTGCCTAGGTTCGGAATCTATTTGGAAACCTACTGACAAAGGGGCATGAGATTCTTACTTCAGAAATTTCCTAAGTAAAAGCATCAGTAACATTTACATTCTTTTCTTGGTTTGTTCATTTTTATTGGAAAGACAGATACACAGAGAAAGAGAGGCAGAGAGAAAGATCCTCTGTCTGCTGGTTCACTCCCCAAGTGACTGCAAGGGCTGAAATGGAGCCAATCCAAAGCCAGGAGCTTCTTCTGGGTCCCCCACACAGAGGCGGGGTCCCAAGGGTTTGGGCCATGCTTGACTGCTTTCCCAGTCCACAGCAGTGAGCCGGATGGGAAGTGGAGCAGCCAGGACACACGTGGTGCCCACATGGGATGCTGGCAATTGCAAGGCAAGGATTTAACCACTAGGCTATCGCACCAGATCCAACATTCACATTGTCCCTTGGCTTCTACGCCTGCTCATGTTGAGACAGACAATGCTCTGGAGCTGCCCCGGGCTCCCACCCTTACCCAGGCCATTTCTCAGGGTTCTGCTTGCAGCAGGCAGCGCCGAGGACGCAGTCGGTGCCTCCTCTGGGGCGGAGAGCAGCCTTGCTTACTGCCTGCTGCACAGCAGCAGACTTCCCCAGTGCAGGCTCCCTCAGCTCTACTGTGCGTCACGGCCTCACGGGGGACTCTGGGCGAGTGGGGGTGCATAGGGGACCCGAAGCCCACAAGCTGACACGCATGCTGTCTGCTATGAGGAATGAAGCCCTTCGTCATTGTCTAAGACTGCGTCTTCTGCTGGCACCCATAGAGCAGTGATGGGCTAACTGATTAGCTTGCAAGCAGGTGAAAATAAAACTCCAGACCCTGACAGTTTGGGGACAAGCTTCTTGCACAAAACAGACAAGGGCCCCTGGAGGCCACACCAGGGGGCTATGAAATGACCTGCCCTGGGATCAGTCATAGCTGCTCTTGCCAAGAGGTGGGCAATGGGTGTAGGACCCCCAGCCCCTGCCCACCCATTTAGCAGGCTGCCCTGACACAGGCCGTCCAAAGCAGCCTGGGTTAGGTCCTCTCTCCTGGCTAGAAGGCAGTGTAGACATGGCTGCTGGGTCAGATCATCTGAGCTGTAACAAACGGTGCAGCAGTGAGAATAAGGACTCTGCTAGTCGCTTCAGGAATGGAGTAAAAGGCAAATACAGACAAGGGCCCTCGTGTGGGCTGCAAGCCCAGGTCCAAAGTAAACGCACCTTGCTTACTGGCTAGAACCAGTCCTTCTGCATGGCACAATCACACCTCAACCTCAACTGGTTTAAGAAGGAAGGTGATTAAAGCTGAGGCCAGGGAGGTCCATGTCCACAGGGACGCTGAAGGCCACACACAGCCATCCGGGTGTGCTGGGGCACTCCAGGGAGGGGAGGGACTCACACTCAAAGCTGCACTGGACCGAGGGGCTCCCATCTGCTTTTTTTTTTTCAGCCCCCTGGGTGGGGAGAGGGTATGCCAGGCACAGGACTCAGCAAAGGCCCTGGGAGCTGCAGGGAGAGCCACCGGCAGCATGCCCAGGCCCTGGAAGGTTGCAATCCCTGAGCTCAGCGACTCACCAGCCACTAGGGCAACAAGTGGGAGGGAGCAAGGGACACCACAGTCAGCGGGGGTGACGAGGGGTAACAAGCTTCTGCCTGCTGCATCCAGCTCTCTTCACATCTGCACACTCCCCAAGGGGGCAAGGTCGCACACGCACTCTCCCCAACGGGGCAAGGGCCCAATCTCTGGGTGGCTGTCACTACAGCACCCAGTGCAGGCCTGTTCATTACATCAAGTTCTCCAGAGAGCAGGGGAGCTAGGGTGACCGTCCAGTAGGTGCTCTGGGCCACGTCAACGTGCTGTTGTTGTGGCTGCTGCTGCTCAAAGGAGAGCCGAAGCTGACCTCCCAGTGTCCGAGGGGATTATCCCACTCCAGATGCTGCCTGTAGAGGCAATCGAGCCCCCTAGTGTTCCAGGATTATATTAATCCCTGGAAGGAGGAGGGAACTCACAGTTTTAAAGATTTAACAGTTCGGAGATGACCTGATAGAGGAGCTTGGGGGAACTCCTCTACCAGGACACGGTCTCTGCAGTTGAGTACAAGAACCGAGGCTGGAAGCAGCCCAGACCAGGCCAGGTTACAGTACCCGCCGATGTACATATGTGTGGGTCAGGACTAGGGGCTGTCCAGGCTGGGCTAGGCTGCAGCACCCACCAGCATGAGCTGGAACTAGGGGGAGTTCAGCACCTGCCAGCAAATGCTGAGGGGAGGCAGGCCATGCCAGACTGGACCCACTAGTTCACACAAGATCCCAGATGGGGTGGGGATGAGCATAGCAGGGGGGCTGCAGGGACACTCATGTTGGACCACTGTTCCTGCTGTAAGTGTGAGAGCTGGGATGTGGGGCATACCAGGCTGGATAGGGCTACAATACTTGTTGGCCTGCATGTGAGCTGGGTTAGAGGGAGAGCCAGGCTGCGCTAAGCAACATGCACGTGCCAGAGTACAGGCTGGTCGAGTTCTGCAGCAGCATCAGCTGGCAAATGCCAGGACTGCAGGCAGGTCTTATCAGGCTAGACCACAATACCACCTGAAAAGTGTAAGTTTCGGGGCTGGGAGTGGGCCTAGTAGGGAAAATGGGCACACCTCTGATGAACTGCAGCTCTCACTGGTAAGCATGAGAGCCAGGGCTGGGGGCGGGCCTGGCTAGACAGGCAGTAACACACACCGGCACGGACATAAGCTGGACAGTGGTGTCAGTTGGGTTGAGCTAGGCTGCAGTACCCTTTGATGTATATGAGAGCAGAACGGGATGCAAAACAGACCGGATTAGTCTGCTGCTGCACACACTGGAACCAGCACTGGGGGCAGGTCTGGTGTGGGTTAATGGGGAAAGCCCCAACTGCACTGCAGCTCCTACTGCCGTGCACGAGGGCCTAGGGTGTGGTGGGCAGGGTTGGGCTGGGCCACAGCATCCTTTGTATAGTGTATGAGATAGGGCTGAGACAGAACTGACTAGGCGGCTGCAACAACCAGTATGTGTGAAGGCTGATGTGGGTGGACTGAGCTGGACCCCACATTGCCTGGCACACATAGGAGTCAGGGCTGGGGTAACCTCTTGCGAAGTTTCCTTGGAGACCCTTTGAACTGGACTGCTGGAATCAAAACTCCCACCACAGGGAAAATCACAGGATCTATGGTTTGATCATGGAGTGCATGAGTCAGAACCGGGCCTCATGGGTCGCTGAAGCCTGTACAGTGGACAGCATGCCTGATGAACATGGAGAACATGACAGATCACTGAGGCCTGCAGAAGACATCTAATATCAAGGAGGGCAGAGCAAAATGGACAGCACGCCTATCCACTATCTAGTGCCATTTGCCAGGATAATGTCGCCATCTAGTGGAAGCATATAAAAGTACATAGTGAACTCTTAAAATGGAGTGCCTGCTGCAACAACCCCTCCGGATCCTCACTCCTGATGCATCCACAGTGGAGAGGATCAGTTTGAAATCTACGGCAAAGAAGGGAAGGGCTCAACAAGCTTTGCTGGGCCTGTGGAAATGTGATGAAGAGCACAGCTGACCTGGCCTTTTGGGAGACAGTGTCCTCCACCTCAGTAACAGTGACACAGCCAGTGCCCGGCATGGCTTCTCATTCACACACGTTCCTCTAGGAGCTCAGACATGATTCCCTGGCAGGTGAGAAGCCAACGGTGGTCCCAGGGCAGCAACAGTCATCCAGCCCTGGTACTATACCTGGACAGCCAATGGCAATGAGCGCTGATCAGGTATGCCACCCCTTACAGAAGCCTAGAGAATTCTCCAAACAAACCATGACCTCCTGCCAATGGGATGGTCTGGAACACCCAGGTCAGCATCCACAGTCAGGGCTGTCCTCCGGGACTGCTGACTGAAATCCAGACTGGCACCACAGCCACTGAGATCAACAACACACGAGGCCTGGAGACACAGGTGGCACCCCAGACCGACACAGCATAAAGTACCACGTGCATGCGACTCCTGTCAGAGCCAGGGGCCTGTCCTGCAGTGGAGGCAGGTGCATGGCAGGACCGACTCCACATGCTAGCACAGCACCCCTCCTCTGGCTGTCACGGGCATCTCCCTGGAGCAGGTACTCCCTTGGGTTTCAGCGCTGGTGATGCCGTCAGCCCAAGCATCTGACCTGGACTGAGCACTGTGGTCCGAAACCATACTCCTTTTCAGCTGTCCAAGTCTGACAGTAGCGCACCTTCTTGTCACAAAGGCCAAACGTCATGGGCCACTAGTCAAGGTATTTGATGGCCACTCCGCGCTCCCTACCACCTAGACATTGGATTACCAGACAGCCCCCTAGGAAACCAACCCCAGCAGCACGTCTGACCCCGCCCCCTCTTTCCTTAGGAGGCAGGGCCAACCCCCAGCTCCCTGCTTGGGGCCTGGGAAGGCTGGAGACAATGGCCCAAAGCCTTGGGACACTGCATCTGCATGAGAGTCCATGAAAAAGCTCCTGGCTCCTACCTTCAGATCAGCTCCGACTGTTGTGATCTCTTGGGGAGTGAACCAGTGGATGAAAGATCTCTCTGTCTCTCCTCCTCTCTGTAAATCTGCCTTTCCAATAAAAATAAACCAACCTGCTGAGATTCATCCTGCTTCTTGTAATGGAAAATCTTTGCTGTACTGTGTGATTGTGCAGACGCTAATCCCCTGCTCTGTAACACCAGCACCCAGATGAGCACCAGTTTGCGGCCTGGCTGATCCACTCTCACCCAGCCCCCTGCTCAGGTCCTTGGACCTCTGCACCCATGTGGGAGATCCGGAAGAAGCTCCTGCTTCAGATCGGCTCAGCTCCAGCCGTGTGGCCATTCGGGGAGTGAACCAGTGGATGAGAGACCTTCTTCCTCTCTCCTTTCTCTCTAAAATTTGCCTTTCTCTCTAAAAATATTTTTTAAATATTTTTTGCTAACCTAGGCATCTCCTCTTTTCTGCCAGCCATCACGAGACTGTAACCGACTTATTTATAAATTCTCAAGTAGGGTAACCTGCATGGTTTCTCTCTGGACAAGGAGGTACATCTCTGGCGTTGGGCTACGCTAACTTCCACCCCAGTGATACTGTGGGCCAAATCCATCCTTTCTAAGCAGCATCAAGCTTCCAGCTGGTTACCAAATTCCTTCGGAGGCTTAGCTAATGAAATGCGATCATGCCACCGCCCAGCGACTGCAGTGTACCAGACAGAACCTCCTGCAATGCAGCGTCTTCTCATAGGGTGAGCCCCGGATCTGCCTCCTGACATCTAGTCCCCAGCCCAGAACAGCCTGTCCTGCAGCAGGTAGGTCTCCCTCTACTCCCTGAAAATCCTACAGATTAGGAATGCCGGCTATCCCAAGGAGTCCCCCACACATACACACACCGTTCACCCCGCATTCTCTTGCCACAAGAGTTCAAAACACGTGTCAACAGCTACAATCCTGGAAGCAGGTGACACACTCCAGGAGCGTTGCTTCCTTAAATCCAAAGAATCCTGCTGCCCACTCCCGTCCCCTCCAACAGCAAAACCATTCGCCCAGAACCCAGAATTCAATTTCCAAAACTCTCCTCCACTCGCCCACCCGCCGCGGCCCCGCCCCTCCGCCCGGGAATCCCGCCCCCTCCTGCCCCTGGCCAATCAGAGAGCGGTGCCCCGCCCCTGCGGTTTCCATGGCGACGGCCGAGCCCATCCAGTCCCTCACCAGATGTGCCGCGGCTCCTCCAGTCGGTGGAAGCGGGTGGCGAAGGACAGCAGCGTCACCAGGGCCAACAGGGCCCAGTGGCCGGCCCCCTGGAAGCGCCCCGAGCCCCGAGCGGGCCGTTTGGGGCTTCGCGTCGCGGCCTCTGCCCCCACCGCCCGAGCGGCCTGAGCTGCACTGCGGGCCCTCCGGGAACGCGGCTCGGGCCCTGCCAGGCCTCCGCCCGCGGCCGGCGGCATCCTCCCCCTCCTCAGGGCCGCCCTCCCGCCCGGCGGCCCGCTCGCCGGTGCTCGTCAGCCAGCCCGCCCAAGATCGCCCAGGAGCAGCTCCGGGTGCTCTGGGCAATGTAGTTCCCTCCGCCAGCAGGCGGCCTGTGGCGCAGAGCATGTCGGGGCCAGCAGCGTTCACGGAACTACAATTCCCAGCGGCCCGGGCGCGGGGGGCGTGGCCAGGCGGCGGGCTGGGCCCGGAGCGCAGGCCGCGACCACGGGAGACCGGCCGTCGCTTCGTCCCGACGGGATCCGCGGCTCTGACGCCTCCTCCCTGTCCGGGGCCTCGGTCATCGGTCAAGTTTCCCGGTGTGGAAGAGGGATTTCCCGAGGTGTGAGATGCAAGCGGGGAAGGTCTGTGCCGCGCACCCCGGGGAGAGGGTCGATAATGTGCCACACAGATTTACCCTCATAGGGGCGAGGTCAAAGGTGACCCGCTGTGCCCCGCCCACCGCTCCGGCAACAACACCCAGCTTGCCGTGCGCGGAGCCTGCGCTGCGCCTGCGCACAGCTGGCTGCAACCGGCGCTCCCCGCAGTGGACCCGGATCCCGCGTGGCCGATCCAACGTGCTGGGCTGCATGGATCGAGACCATGGTCTCGGTCGCTTTTGGGGATTAACAGCAGTCCAAAAAGATGAAAAAGAAAATTCTGGAACGAGTTCATATTTTTCAAACTTGTGCACCTTTGTGAGAAGTACGACAAATGCCTGCAGGTGGCAGGTGGCACCTGCTCCGTCAAGCCAGGGACATGAGTCATCCCTATTCCAGTGTGTGCACGCAGTCCAGGCCACCTTTCCCTGTTAGTCACGAGGCGATCATCTCGGGTTTCCCGTACGCTGGTGCTGTCACCATGCTTGTTAAGTAACTCCTAACCCCACGGGCAGCAATGGTGGCCATACAGTCTCGGCATACTGTTTGAATTACTTCATTACTGGTCAGTACTCATCTCCTACTGTGCCTCGTGTAACAGTTAAACCTTAGGTACATGTGTGCAGGAAGAAATCGACACGGTTTGGTGCTTTCTGTGGCTTCAGGCATCCATCAGGCGTCTTAAAGATATTCCCCCATTGAGCAAGGAGGGGTTACTGAGCCTCCATGATTATCCCTGGTAAGAGAAAGAACAGAAATTGCCCAAGAGATTTCAGTTTTCTGACTTAGCGGGCAAGTGGAAGCTAATGGCCTTAAGCATAACACCAGGCACTCACAGTACACAGGTCAAAGGCATGCTGCTGGGTCGAGAGGTGAGACACCTGTTCAGAGACACCCATTGCCTCTCAGAGGCTGTCCCTCATCAGCTGCGCCTGTGTCTTGGTGTCAGGGGCCCCTCCCGCACAGCCATGAAAGGAGGGATGTGTCTCCCAACGAGGAGGAGTAACAGTGGCTGCCTGTCACCTGCCCACTGGACCAGCCTCACTCTGCCCCATGCAAAAAGAAGGAGGTGCCTTCAGGACACACTGGGGAGGGACTGGTTCGCCCATGGCTGAACAAAGCCATCTGATGCAGAGCCTGGTTATCTGAGTTTCACAGGTGGGCATATTGTGTGCAGGATAGGATGTGATACCACGAAACACAGCATCCAAGAAGCCTGCCTGCCAGGCAGCCCGCCGTGGTATAGATGTGGTTTCCTTGCAGGATCGCATGGCTGGGTGCCGTGGCCACTGCTGCAGCCTGGTTCTGGGGCAGGAGGGGTGAGAATGGAGTTCTGCCATATGCATGTCTCTTTCATACCATTTACTGTGCAGGCTCAGATAGGATCCCTTGGGTCCCACACAGCTGGTTCCTCTCCTAGATCCAAACCCACTCCATCCCACAAACTACTGCCTCAACTCAGGCCACCAAGCCTGTCTCCACCAGAAGTGTAAAAAACAGCCTGCAGGTTGGAATGAGGTGTCCTTTCTCACCTGGGTCAAAGTGCACCTGCTGCCTCTCCAGCCCAGCGTTCCCATTGGCTCCCGGTGCAGGGTCCCTCCCCGCCGGCCCTGCAGCCCATGAGAGGGGACAGACAGGTCAAGGCTCAGGATCAGGATCACAGTGGTGGCACCATGACCGAGTCCAGCAAGGTATGAGAGGCACTTGCAGGCCAGCAGCCATGGGTCCTCAGGAAATCGTGGTAGCACCGTTTGGAGCTGAGGGACTTTGCGTGATGGTCAGGGTTTCTGACCCAGACAGCAGCTTAGGGAAGGCGGCATGTTGGCTTGTCTCATCCTGCCTGGCAGCTGGCACCTCCCCTGCAGCTGGGGTTCCACCAAGCCTGGGTTAACACGTGCCTTTGTCCTCTCTCTCCTCAGCCCATTCTCTATTCTTACTTCCGAAGCTCCTGCTCATGGAGAGTTCGAATTGGTAAGTACTGCATGTCTGCCATGCCAAGGCATGGGTGGGATGGAGAAGTTCCAGGTGCAAAGCGGGCCTAGAACATAGCCTGGAGGCCAGAGTGGGGATGTGTTCTGCCACATACAACTTCACACCTGGTACCCTGGAAGAGCCCTGAACAATGTAACTCCACCAGCAAGTCCAGTAAGCAGAGGGGCTGGGGTGGGAGGAGACAGGTGGTTTTCCCCCTGGGATTGCCTCTTTGCCCCGCACTGCTCTCCAAAGCCACTTGGCAACTGCACTCGCAGCAGGCTCACAAAATCCACAGGTCCCTGGAAACTGGCAGGGGGACAGCTGGCCTCGCACAGTCTTTATTTGATCTGGCAAGTTAAGTAGAACTGGATCAGTATGCACTGTGGAGGCTTTGGGGCCACAGAAAGGAGTGCTTCCTGGGTTAGTTGGGGTTTCATCTTCCTCTTGCTCAGCCTTACCGGGTCCTTGGCAAGGTCACATTCACAGCAGCTCATACTGAGGCAGAGCTGCCTGCTTTGCTGTGTGTGACTCCATTTCCACCTCTGCAGCACAGACAGGGAGTGTCGGCCCCAGTGTACAGATGAGGAAGCTGTGGCACCAGGAGGTTAGCTCATTTTCAAGTAAGAGCTAAGAATGCTGAGGCCCAGTGGCCCTGGAAGAAAACACCCCCAGGCGGACGGGATGATCCTGTTGGAACCCAGACTCCCTGTGCCCGGAGCTGGTCCTAAAGGAACGCCTTTCTCCAAGACCCCACCACGCCCATCCCGCAAGTGCTTGGGACTTCCTGGAATCAATGAGCAAGAACAGACATCGCTGGGCCTTTGCCAGCATCCAGAACAGGTGGAGCGCTGGCCACCGATCCTGCCCATCGTGTCCACTCCCTGAGCACTGGCCAAGGAGGAGCCCAGTGGAACCCAGGCCCTCCTCGCCCTGCCACACCTCTCCTCTTTGCCCTTGCCCGAGGCCAGCCATCAGCATAGTTTACTACCCATGCATGTGGGCATACACACCTGCACACAGTCGTCCCCATGTGGGTCAAACTGAGCAATTTTACCCTGGCTCTACCAGAGGATATGCAGGAAGTGTGGTCACTGGATTCCCAGTTGGTGCCCTGACAGCTGCCTAGAAACACCACCCACGAGAACAGGGAAAGGGTCTTCAAGATCCCTCTCTGTGCAGAAAGTGGCCTGTGTGTGGTCCGTGCCTTCCCATGGCCCCTTAGATGCCCGGTCATGGGAACAACTGCATGTCGCCAGCAGACATGCCCTTGCTCACTGTGGCCATGGGTGGGGAGAGAGGGTGTGGCAGAGGTGAGCAGAACACACCTCTGCTGTCCTCCAGGAACCCAGTGTGCTCCAGCATGCACCCTTGAAGTCCCCCTGGCAGAGGGTGAGGGCCTCAAGTTTAAGATCTGAGGCAGAACCTCATGCACCAGAGTGGGGGATTGGGAGGGGGGAGGTGACAAAGGAAAACTGGAAAAGAGATGGTGCCAAGCTGGGACCCAGCAGGGACCTGCCCCTCTGCAGCCTCATGATGTCTCCCCAAACTGCCCTTCCCTTGGGGTGTAGCTGAAAACTGCCCCCAACTCTGGCTATCTCTGGTCTCTCCCAGCTCTGGTCATGAAAGGCATTGACTATGAGACAGTGCCCATCAACCTCATAAAGGATGGAGGGCAACAGGTAAGGAGGTGCCCCCAGACTGCAGTGTGAGAATTGGAAGCTGGTGGGGAGGCTGAGAGGGAGGCTCCAGGCAGGTGTGAACCTGCTAGTTCTCCTCAGCGCCAGGCTCAGCCACCACTCGGGCTCTGTAGTACCTGACCTCAGGAGAGTGGGTGGCCAGGGGAGGAGTCACCTTGGTGGCCATCCTATGGGATGCAGGGGGATATGCAGAGCTAAGCTAGTGGGATGAAGCCGGTAGCAGCAGGTAGCAGCAGTTGCTGGGACTCAGAACCCTGCATGCCTTAACCCCAACCCCACCCCAGGCATTGCCCTAGGGCACAGGGGTTGTGAATGGGCAGCATGTCCAGGATGTTCCTGCCTGCACGTTTCTGCTTAAGCTGGCTCAGGCCCTACCCACTGCCTTACTGGGGACCTGTCTCTGCAGTTCTCGGAGGAATTCCAGGTGCTGAATCCCATGATGCAGGTGCCAGCCCTGAAGATTGATGGATTTACCCTTGGCCAGTCCGTGAGTACAGACAGGGCCTATGGGAGTGCCTGCCACCTCATCCTTCCCCTATGTGTGGCCAGATCACACAGCACACAGGAGGAGGAGAAGGAACCCACTGGACCCTCTGGGGAGCTGAGTTCTGCAGGGCAAGGTGTAAAACAGCTTTCAGGGCAGAGGGAGAAAGGAGATAGTGATGGGTGGTGGTGGAGGAGGAAGAGTTTGCTGGCCGTGTCCCTCTGCTGCAAGAACCTCCAGCCCACTGATCCTGCCTTCTGTGCCTCTCTGGACAGCTGGCCATCATCGAGTACCTGGAGGAGACCCGGCCCAACCCGCGACTCTTGCCTCAGGACCCGAAGAAGAGGGCCACCGTGCGCATGATCTCTGACCTCATTGCGGGTGGCATCCAGCCCCTGCAGGTACAGGACCTCACCCTGGCACATCTCTTCCCTTCCCTCCTTGCACACTGTCTGTGGGGAGCCCACAGGGAGAGGCCCAGAGTAGGGGTGGCAGGAAGACTGAGGGATCCTTGGAATGAGGGTGGGGTT